AGTGTGGTGGTGGAGAGTGAAGTGTGGTGGTGGAGAGTGAAGTGTGGTGGTGGAGAGTGAAGTGTGGTGCAACATGGTGTAGTGAGGTATTCGTACGGAAATTTTGTGGTATTAGAGTTGACCTTTAAATCTCCTCTGTCTGAGGCACCTCCACACTCCCCCCCCCCCACCCCCGCCGAGCTGCTCAAGCACCACCTCCACACCCCTTCCCCTCCCCCCCCCCCCTCCTCCTGAGCTGCTCATGCACCTTACAATGGACTGGGTTAGGTTATATTGAATTAAGTTTTGTTTATAGAGTAGAAGTGATGTAGAAAGGTACATTCTTTTCTGAGAGGTGTTAGACCCTGGCCGAGCACTGGGCAAAGTTGTGAGGGTACCGGGGTAGAGGCTCCGGGCAGGGGGGGTTTGGCGGGATCACGTGCCGCTTCCACGAACTCTCAACGAACTCGAGTCATCGTCGGTGTGCAACCCGGCTTCTTAAAAATAACGTCGCTTTCCGCTCGTATGCGAGCTTTGGCCAAGAGTGGACCGTAATTGACATGAAATCGGCTCACGAAAGTGTGGTACTGTCCCGTTTTCTGTTTGGGTTCTCCGGCTCACTTGGTTAGGATAGGAGAGGAAACTTTCATTTAACGTTTTTCATGACGTTTTGAAACTTTAGGAGAATTTCCTGCCCTCCTAACCTATCAGAGGACCCTTAACTTACTGTTTTGTAAAAAAAATCCCAAATTTATTTTAAATTTTTTTAAATTTTCAAATTACGTCCATTTTCGGCCATACGAGTAAACGGCCAAATTCAGACGTAATTTGTAAGAGGACAAGTTGGTTTTGTTTATCGATTGCAGTTGCAACACATGGTTGGGTGTATGTGTACTCATCTATATGTGTTTGTATATATGAATAGATCAATTTCTCACACAAGCCTAGTCTCACATTGTGGTGCCAGATGTGAGATGATTGCCTTGTATCAGCAACACTTCTCTGCCCCAGAGCGGGTGAGTGAAATGACTAAACAAGGGAAGGCGAGAGCAAACGCCGAGGTCCAATTACTTGGTCCTCCAATCACTAGGTCGTTACAGCTCCTCAATTGCATAAGCAACCTAAGAGAGTAGCAAATGGGTTCTAACACCAAGTAACAAACAAATTCAGTGTTTGAAGCTGTTGGGCTTCATCCCAGAGCTTAAACCAGTTAAATTCAAGACTTTAGAAGTAGCTGAAGTAGAGCATATTAACAGGTCAGTACTCATCAAAGATTACACACAGAGATCACACTAACGTGATGCATCAAATGAACAAATCCACAAGGGCCGTGACGAGGATTCGAACCTGCGTCCGGGAGCATCCCAGACACTGCCTTAATCGACTGAGCTACGACAGGGTAAAAGGGTTGAAACCGAAGTTCCACCGAAGTTCGACTGAAACCCGAGCTATTTTACTCATCAAAGGTGGTTGACGGAATGACACTTTTGCCACAATAACAATTTATTCAACAATTTTACTTATTAATTCACGGCAATAACAACTTTACGTCACGTCCCATATCCTTCTGTCCCACCGACAGTAACAATCAAATCAATAATTACCTTAATCACTCGTAATCACTTGATTGGTGTTGTCACTAAGGCCAACACCAATCAGGTCTCTCCGCCGTGGATGTGGTGTCAGAGGAGCGGTGAGGCAGCAGTCGCCGCCCGTAACAATGACCACATGTTTACAAACACCTTCAACACCACACTAACACAGTGGTCTTCCTGAGGCAGCTTGTACCACGTTAAGTCTCCGTGACAGTCTCCGTGGTGTAGTGGTAAGACACTCGCCTGGCGTTCCGCGAGCGCTATGTCATGGGTTCGTATCCTGGCCGGGGAGGATTTACTGGGCGCAATTCCTTAACTGTAGCCTCTGTTTAACGCAACAGTAAAATGTGTACTTGGATGAAAAAACGATTCTTCGCGGCAGGGGATCGTATTCCAGGGACCATAGGATTAAGGACTTGCCCGAAACGCTACGCGTACTAGTGGCTGTACAAGAATGTAACAACTCTTGTATATATCTCAAAAAAAAAAAAAAAAAAAAAAAAAAAAAAAAAAAAAAAAAAAAAGTCCGGCCACACCCGTACGGCCCCGGGCTCAATACCCTGAGGGTAGGACAGAAGCGTTTGGGAAACGATTTTTTTTCACCCGATGTCTCTGGCCACCTAGCAGCATTTATTTATTTATTTATTTATTTATATGTATACAAGAAGGTACATTGGGGTTTTTGAGAGTATATAGCATTGATGTTTTTACATCCTTGTAAAGCCACTAGTACGCGCAGCGTTTCGGGCAGATCCTTAATATAACAGATAATTTTAAGTAGGTAATTTCTAGCAAAATTGAAACTTGTTAACAGGAACATTGTAAGAAAATTTGACAAAGATTAGTAGGTACATTAATGTAAAACTTGAGGGTTATCAAGAGGTACATTGTAGCATACTATGAGGATTATTTCAAGGTATAATGCAGTAAAATATGACTTCAATATAATAACCATGATATAAGGTGATAGCAATGATTACAATGGTAAAGTTGTATGGCTTAGGTACAATATATTGGGGGATTGGGTAGCACAAGATACAGTGCGAGTTTAAAGCACTAGGTAGGAAACTATGAAGATGAAAGTAGATACTTTTTGGTTTTATTTTTGAATAAGGTAAAATTTGGACAGCTTTTCAATTCGTTAGGGAGTGAGTTCCATAGACTAGGTCACTTTATTTGCATAGAGAGTTTACATAGTGTTTGCATAGTGTTCATTAAATACGTAGCTGGGAGCTAGGCAACTGTTATGAGTTGCAACATGAGAAAGTTTACTTATTGTCTTAGGGTGGGTCCTCAATAAGCCTAACAGCTTCCTGTCACCGACTATGGGAAATCATTAAGGGAAGAAACTCTAAATACAAATGTAAAATAGTTACCACTATTATAGTTTCGTTTTCTTTCAAAACAATTTAAGAGAAAACGTTAAGGCTGGATGCGAGGCCTTGAGATGGACTGCTGTATAAATTAGAAAGACATTACGTTTTTGTTTTTTTAACTTTGCGTTCTAGGAAAACGAATATTTTTTAAAGATTTTATTTAATTTGTTTCTAAGAAGAATGAGAGAGAGAAAGTGAGTGAGTGAGTGTAATTACCAGAGTGTAGTTACAGGATGTGTACGCTCGCCTAATTGTGTTTGCGGGGGTAGAGCTTCGGCTCATTGGTCCCACCTCTCAACTGACAATCAACTGGTGTACACGAACCTGTACATGTACAGGTTCCTTGGACCTGTTCCTTGGACCTTGGAAAAGGACCTTGGAGTAAAAAATCCACCACTCAATGAAAATTGTACAGCAGGTAGGGACAGCAGTTAAAAAAGCTAACCAATCACTTGCAATAATCAAACGTACCTTCGCTTTTAAGGAAAATAAGGTAGTGATACAGTTGTATAAATCTCTGGTGTGCCCCATTAGGATTACTGTATGGAGACCTCATCTACAGAAAGACACAGCTGCTCTGGAGAAAACGCAAAACCGGGCAACAAAAATCATTCCAGAGCTAAGTCCTCCCACGTGTCTGGAAGTACATCGTGCCTCTGTAATGCTTTTGCGCTACCGCTCACAGGATGAGTATGGGGTGCACAATAAAATAGCCGTCTTCGGTGGCAACAATATGTACATCTGAAACTGTGTATGGAGTCAGCCTCCACCACATCGCTTTCTAACGAATTCCATTTGTTAACTACCCTGACACTGGACAAAATCTTTCTAATGTCTCTGTGGCTCATTTGGGTACTCAGTTTCCACCTGTGTCGCCTTGTTCGTGTTCCACCCGTGTTGAATAATCTGTCCTTATCTACCCTGTCGAGTTCCCTTAAAATTTTGACTGTTGTGATCATATCTCCCTTAACTCTTCTGTCTTCAAGCGACGTGAGTTGCGCCTCACGTCGTGGGCATTAGGGGTACCACCTCTGGTTGTGTTTATTGATACCCTAATTCTCGAAGAAGAGGATATGAAGCACCCGGGGGGGGGGGGCGGCTTGAGGGGCTCCCACGTGCGCTGGCACATTTTGCCTTCTATTGTCTCTTGTCCTCACTCCCAAGTATTCTGAATTTTATCTCCCACACACACCCAAAACTGCCCTACCTTGTATTAGTTGGTTGGGGAGTTTTAGCTTGTTGCCAACCTACAGGCGGGAGGCTTGGAGGGGTGCATGGCCTGCTCATCATCAGCATCACACTCAGCATTCCAAGAATTTTCCATTAAAGTTTGTTTGACAAGACTATCGTAATTAATGAAGGCGACATATACCACTTCACACGTGTTTATGGAGGAACTTCAACTTGAGATGAAACAGCCTCTCATATAGGAACTTCCTGTATTAAAAATTGTTTTAACTCTTGTCTTTAATAATGGTAGTGAGCTTCACCTCTGACTTCTTACTCATACTCTCCAGGACAGGAGGAAGAGAGGAGCTAGTAAGGGAGGAGACAAAGACAGAGAGAGAGAGAGAGAGAGAGAGAGAGAGAGAGAGAGAGATAGATAGAGAGAGAGAGAGAGAGAGAGAGAGAGAGAGAGAGAGAGAGAGAGAGAGAGAGAGAGAGAGAGAGAGAGAGAGAGAGAGAGAGAGAGAGAGAGAGGGAGAGAGAGAGAAGGAGGAGGCCTGAAATGCGAGACTACTCTTGGGGTCAGTGGATTGACACTAAGGTTGCCTCCAGCCCTAACAAAGGAAAGTGCCATTAAGATGTTTGCAAACCCAAACAAACTCCTCTGCACATCAACAACTCTGCACGAGGTCACCTGGGTTGACCTCCCTGGGTGTCACACACTCATGAGAAAGGTTGGAGATGCATAATAAACGAACAAGCTAAAAGCTGAAGGTAAAGGTAGCTGACAGAGTAAGGGGGGTGAAAGATGACAAAAGAAATGAATGGAAGAGTGTAAAGAGGACAATGTAGAGTGTATGACAATGTGGAAGACTGTACTCACCAGCTAGGTTCTGGCCACCGCCTCCACCACCATCACACTCCCTGCCGGGCCCAGCATCTCCCTCGACCTGTTGCTTGTCATGCCAACCTGGCAGATAACGAACAGAAGCAACTGCAGGAATTTCAATTGTGAATTGTATTAGGGAGGGGGCGGGGGGGGGGGGGCGGGGATGCCAAATCAGATTAGGTCACGTTAGTTGTATGTAGGAGTACCACGGGTGACCTCTGGGAGGGAGTCAGGTCAGGTCAGCGAGCTGTGAACCCCAGCAACAAAAGTAGGGACGCCGCCAGAGCCATGCAACTGTTGGTGTCCTCATCAAGCACTGTGAGGGGGGGACTGTGGTGGCTGAGGTGAGAGAGAGCTGGTGTCAAGAATGGTTTAATAATATGCGACGTCTCGTCCGCCTTTTAAGTCAACTGGAGTTTAATTGTTAGGAACAGTACGTTAGTTTCTTTTTCACATCGTTACAATTAATGGTTACTTGACACTCTGCTGCTAACCACTGTGCGAGGAGACTACCAATTATGGTTGACGAGGAAGATATAAACAACTTTCACAAGACTCATGACAGGAGAGGAGCGGGATGCGCCGAGTGTTGCGCGGGCGAGTGACTCTTGCTCTCATCTCTCTCGACAGATTTTCTAAGATAAGATTAAAGGTATCGAACGTTGTGATAATTTGGGTATTATCTGTTGAGAGTGGATCGCTCGATGGTTACCAAGACCCACCACAACAATGGTGTTGACCCGCTCCTTGTCCCTTCTCTCTTCCCCACCACCACCACCACTACCCCCCACCCTGCTACCATCACCACCACCTCCACCACCCCACCACGCCCACCCTCCCACCATCACCAGTACAATCACCATTACCACAACCACCACCCTCAGAGTGGTGGGGGGGGGATAGAAAGCTACGTTTTATGGAAACTAAGCTTGTGGCTAGTTTAAGTTTACAACATCTAGTGAATTCAATATTAAAAAAAAGTGTTAAGTACCAGTAGCGCGAGCACTCAGTGTAGCCACCAATAGCAACCTCCACCACTTTACCATTGACAGTAGGAGTGCTGCAGGGCAGCATCTTGGGACCTCTCCTATTCTTATATACATCAATGACTTTCCAAATGTTTCTAACATTCTTTAACCTATACTATTTGCTGACGATATTCGGATTCCAACCCCGACACACTAAATAATATTGTCAATATTGAATTAGAAAAAGGTCCACTCATGGATGTCAACCAACAAACTCACACTAAACATAGAAAATACCTTCTACATTATACTTGGTAGTAAATTATCAAATCAGATTCAACTTCAGATAGACAATGTTAACATTAGCAATAAAAATGAGGGGAAATTCCTTGGCCGATACATAGACAATAGACTGAACTTCAGCACCCACATACAACATATAACCAACAAACTCTAAAAATGGTCGGTATACTTTCTAAAATTAGATATTATGTTCCCCGCTCTGCTCTCCTCTCATTATACTACGCGCTAATCTATCCTTATCTTACATACGGTATCTGTGCATGGGGTTCAACCACTGCAAATTACCTCAAGCCTATCAGCAAAAATCTGCTATCAGAACTATAACAAACTCTGTCTTCAGACAACACACAGCCCCTCTGTTTAAGTCCCTTAACATGCTATACACACACTCACTCCACACATTCTCATGTGCTATTTAATTCTACAAAACCTTGTTCCTAAATGCTAATTTTGATCTGAAACTTTTCCTTGATAGGTGAAATAGAACCCAGGAGCACCACACCAGAAATAAATATATCTTTGATATCCCCCAGAGTCAGACTAAATCTGTGCAAACACTCCATGCAAATAAAAGGACCCAGTCTATGGGACTCACTCCCTGATGAGTTATAAAATTGTCCAATCCATGCCCTGTTTAAAAGTAAAATAAAAAAGTACCTAATTTCATCCTCATAGTTCCCTTTCTGCCTTGTGCTTCAAACTCACACTTTATTTTGGTCTACCCACTTCCCTAATATTAGTACTTAAGACATATATTCTTACCAGTGTAATCACCTCTGTCAACTTACTTATATACAACTTATAAAAACCTTGCTACAATGGACCTTTTCATCTTACCTGATATGTTAGATTAAGGACCTGCCAGAAATGCTATACGTGTTAGTGGCTTTGCTTGAATGTAAAAATACCAATCTTATGTAATCTAACCAACCCATTTACCTTCTTGCAAATAAATTATTATTATTATTACTATTATTATTATTATTATTATTATTATTATTATTATTATTATTATTATTATTATTATTAATATTATAGTGTAATATGGAGACAGAGCCTGGATACAGGGGAGATACCAGCAGCACTTAAATTAGCAGATATAGCCCCTCTGCACAAGGGAGGTAGAAGCGATTTTTCCTTCCTGAAGAGAAAGATATGGAAGGAAATCCAGAATATAACCAATGAGGAGCAGAGTGCTCCTAATTGGAGCACTCCTCAGTGTTCAGACAGTGCTGTCTGAACATCAGGGGTTCATGGCTATTTAACACCCTCCCAGCAAGCATTAGAAATGTTGTCGGAGAAAGGTGGGTATTCAAGAGGCACTTGGACAGGTTCTTGCAAGAAGTGCCGGACCAACCAGGCTGTAGTGGATATGAGGGCTTGCGGGCCGCTCCAAGCAACAGCCTGTTGGACCAAGTTATCACAAGCGAAGGCCGGGCTCGGGGGGGGGGGGGGGTGGACAGAAGAACTCCCGAAACACTCCCCAGGTATGCTCCAAGTATGCCCTAGGTATGCTCCAGGTATGCTCCAGGTATGCCCCAGGTATGCTCCAGGTATGATCCAGGTATGCTCCAGGTATGCTAGAACTTAGTAGCATCCAACGTCAGTGACAAGTGCCCATGTTATTAACTTTCATGTGTTTGTAAATACTACTTGTAAATACCTTGTGTTATGGGCGACTAGTTCACCTAAGTAAACGTGGGGTTCTTTTACCGTAGACTTTCCATACCCCCCAGACTTGGTGAACTAAGTAATAATAATAATAATAATAATAATAATTTTTATTTAGGTAAGGTACATACATAAAGAGATTTTGCAAAGTTTGTTGGCTTTATAGATAGAGCTAGTACATACAATGCCTAAAGCCACTATTACGCAAAGCGTTTCGGGCAGGAAAAACATTAATGACTAAAGCTTAAAACTAATGGGTAAAAAGAATAAAATGTGTTGAGAACAAATAAAAATAGAGGTAAAAGAGGGGGGAACATTGTTGAAAAAGCAGCACAAATACAATTACAAATTATTACAGAAAATTACATTCAAACAGCGTTGATTTGAAAAAAAAAAAAACATACATGGGTTGACCACAGAGGGGTAAGGTAGGTTACAGGGAATTTATTAGGTATAGCTTCGTTTTTAACTTAAACTGGTTGAGAGAGGTACAGTCTTTAACATGGTTGGGAAGGTCATTCCACATTCTGGGCCCCTTGATTTGTAGAGCATTTTTGGTTTGATTAAGTCGTACTCTAGGAATATCAAAACTGTATTTATTTCTGGTGTGGTGCTCATGGGTTCTGTTACAACCTTCTATGAAGCTTTTGAGATCAGGATTGGCATTATAGTTTAGCGTTTTATATATGTATAATACACATGAGAGAATGTGCAGTGACTTAATGTCTAACATATTCAGAGATTTGAGTAGGGGTACCGAGTGATGTCTGGGGCCAGAATTGGATATTTGTCCTAATAGCAGCTTTGTGTTGAGTAATTAGAGGACGTAAGTGATTTTGGGTAGTAGAGCCCCAAGCACAAATACCATAGTTGAGATATGGATAGATAAGGGAGTAATAGAGAGTCACCAGGGCAGGGCGTGGTACATAATATCTGATCTTAGAAAGAATGCCCACAGTTTTTGAAACTTTTTTTGATACGTTTAGAATGTGTCCCTGGAAATTCAGCTTGTGGTCAATGAGAATGCCAAGGAATTTGCCATCTAATTTGTTACAAATTTGGGTATTGTTTATTTTGAGATTTATTTGATTAGAGGATTTATTGCCAAACAGAATATAGAAAGTTTTGTCAATGTTAAGGGTAAGTTGTGATTTAGAATTTATTTATTTATATATACAAAAGTTCTTACATTCTTGTACAGCCACTAGCAGGCATAGTGTTTCGGGCAGGTCCTTAATCCCGTGTTCCCTGGAATACGACCCGCCAAATCGTTTAACAACCAAGTACCCATTTTACTGTTGGGTAAACAGAGGCTATAGTTAAGGATTGACGCCCAGTCAATCCTCCCCAGCCAGGATACGAACCCAGGACAAAGAGCTCGCGAAACGCCAGGCGAGTGTCTTACCATTACACCACGGAGACTAGAGGCCCCTAATGTTGAGAAGGAAGACTACACCACGAGCATTATTACATGGGATCAAAAACGTATAGAAATCATAACATATAAAAATATAGTTAGAACAAACAACAGCTTAAACCCCCCTTACAAAAACAACAGTTTAAACCCCCTTGTCAGGTCAGAACATATTAGTTGAAAACCCCCTCACAAGATAGTAAACAAAAGACTCGGTGAATAGAGACACTAGGCGAGAACAAATATAGTTAGAAAGATATTATCATTGACAAAAAATAATAACAAATGTTGGTAGAGAGTGTGGGAAGCCTGCAGGAGGCGCGTGCGCATGCGTGGCGTCCGTCGCCTAGCAACCAGGAGACGCGGTCCGGGCCCCCTCGAGCACGACTCTAGGCGCTGGGCCCTACACCTCAAGCTGCCACCACTCTAATATATGTTAAGTCTCAGCCGTAAGTATTGACCACTGTGGCACCACTCACGTTTCCTGAACCTGTATTGGTTTCGGAGCAGGTAACATGTTTGCACAACTACTCACATCAGTTGTGAGTCGTGTGTAAACCGATTTTTTTTTTCATTTATAAACAGGGGGTTTGGTGGATGTATGGAATGGACTTTGGGTCTTTGTTTAGAGGACGGGGTGCCAACCCGTCCTCGACTCAAGTCCATTACATCCAGCTCGACGCCACAGACGCATTCATAAATTGTTACATGCTGTTCATTCAAAACTGGAATTTTCTCAAATATAAATTAATATTATAATATATTAGCATATTGTGCATATATATAGGCGTAAGTTAGGTTAGGTTAGGTTTTGTATTTGTAGTACGTGGGTGAATCATTTACACAACCCGTCCTCGACTCAAGTCCATTACATCCAGCGGTCAACCCCACAGACGCATTCATAAATTTTAACATGCTGTTCATTCAAAACGGGAATTTTCTCAAGTATAAATTAATATTATAACATATTAGCATATTGTGTATATATAGGCATAGGTTAGGTTAGGTCAGGTTAGGAGTTTAGGTTCTGTTGGTGATTATTTGTATTTGTAGTACGTGGGTGAAGCATTTACAGCGTTGTGATTCGAACAAAATTCGTCAGTGAAGCACTTGTTCCGGATATGTTCGAACGTCAGCAGTTGTGAGTCGTGTGTAAACCGCTTTTCATTCATAAACAGGGGGTTTGGCGGGTGCATGGAATCACTTTTGGATCTTTGTTTGGAGGACGGGCTGCATTTACAGCGTTGTGGTTCGAACAAAATTCGTCAGTGAAGCACTTGTTCCGGAACTGTTCGAACGAAATCAGTTGTGAGTCGTGTGTAAACCGATTTTCATTCATAAACAGGGGGTTTGGCGGGTGCATGGAATCACTTTTGGGTCTTTGTTTGGAGGACGGGCTGCACAACTGATGACGTTCGACCACTTCCGGAACAATTGCTTCGCTAACGACTTTTGCTCGAACAACCACAACGCTGTAAATGCTTCACCCACGTACTACAAATACAAATAATCGCCAACGGAACCTAAACACCTAACCTAACCTTACCAATGGCTAAATATGTACAGTATGGTAATATATAAATTAATAGTAATTAATATTTGAGAAAATTCCACTTCTGAATGAACAGCATGTTAAAATTTATGAATGCGTCTTTGAGGTCGACCACTGGATGGAATGGACTTGGTCTGAAGACGGGATGCATAAGCAACCCGTCCCAAGGGGCGGTTTGGCGGCTGGATTAACAAGCTTAGATCTTTGTATGCGAGGACGGGATGTGGAAGGAATGGACTGGGTCTGACGACGGGTTGTGGTGGTAAGGATGTTAATTCTTAGCAGCGGACGGGGTTACAACCACCGCGGTAATCGTGATAATTGATCCTTATGTGGTTAATCGACCCACGCCGAGTTGCCGGCAAGACTTATCTGCTATGTCCAGCAGCTGCTGCCTCCTGGACACTCTACTCGGGACCAACAGGTAAGGATATTCCTCTTTTACCCTCTCTGTCTCTGTCCGTCTGTCTGTCTGTCTGTCTGTCTGTCTGCGTTTACTTGACTCTCTCTGTCTCTCTCTCTGTCTCTCTCTCTCTCTCTCTCTCTCTCTCTCTCTCTCTCTCTCTCTCTCTCTCTCTCTCTCTCTCTCTCTCTCTCTCTCTCTCTCTCTCTCTCTCTCTCTCTCTCTCTCTCTCTCTCTCTCTCTCTCTCTCTCTCTCTGTCTCTCTCTCTCTCTCTCTCTCTCTGTCTCTCTCTCTCTGTCTCTCTCTCTGTCTCTCTCTCGTGTATTGTGTTGTGATGCATTGTGTTGCTCCCTGATGCATTATGTTACGTCCTAATGCATTGTGTTTTATTGTGATATTTTTTTTTATTTTATTGTTTTAGCAGCAGCTGCCATTCTGATATACTGTGTCCGGTGCGTCTTTTTCTCTATAAGGGAGGAGGCGCACTTGACCTGAATTATGTGATTAATGCAGACGAGAAAAGACATGAACAAATATTTTACTGTAATGGGTTATTGGCAAGATTAATATTCATCATATCAATGTGCGTTAATATGATGAATATTTTGGGGTCTGTGTGTTTTGGAGTCGTGTGTGTGCATACCTATATGTATGTGCATGATTTGGGGTCATAGTTGTACATGGGATTATGTGTATTTTTGGGTTGTGGGTATTTACATTATAAAGTGAGTGTGTGTGTACTTGCTCAGCTTGCTGTGCTTGTTAGGGTTAATGTACAGGTTTCTGAACCGTTAAGGTTCTGTCATATCTACATCTGAGCGCGCCTGTAGAACCTACATCCACTTCCCTTTGTTGACAACTGTGACTCTAGAAAACTGCATGAGAAATTGTCTTTCACTAATTAACTCTAGCGTAAGAATGACAAAGATACACTCTGATTATATTTTTTAAACAACAGGTGTGTGAAGCCTCGCGGAAGAAGTCAGTCCGAACGACTCTGAAGGTCGTTAGAAGAGCAGCAGACGAAGAATCCTTCAACAACAAGGTTGAAAGGTCAAGTAGTTGACCCCCCTAACTAGGAAGGTCTGATCCGGCTACCAGGAAGCCCAAGGCGGAAGGGAAGAGGAGGGGTGCCAGTGAGAAGATGGGGGCGTGTGCCACCAAGAAGGAGCCCATCAACCCAGGGTCGGCTCTAGACAGGGTCATCTCCCAGGCCTCCAGCGACGACTGTGTCCTCTACCGCCTCGCTGACTACAAGAAAGGTCAGTCCCACTGCGTGACTTGGTTCTTCAACAGGTCAGGTTAAACGCGGCCCGACTGGCTTTCATGCCAGGTCACTCGACCCTCGGGCTCACGTGTGTACTAACCTACATGTGCTTGCAGGGCTAGCTTCAGCTCCTAAGTCCCCACCTCTCAGTCCCCGATTGTAAATTGTTGTGGCTACTGACCCTCTTTTTCTTCTTTTCAAACCTGCTTTTTGAAGCCATGTTTGCCTCAACTCCCTCGCCTCTTAGATCATTCCACTCGCTCACAAGTACTTCCTTACGTCCCTGGAGCTCATCCAGGGTTCTGGTTTCCTCCCATCACCTCTAGCAGCCCCTTTGCATGCTAAACATTTCATTTGATTCACTTTGTCAGTGTCTCCAAGTATCTTATACGTTGCGACCATGTTGCTTCTCTCGGTCTCTTTCTCAGTCTAATGGGTTCCAGTTCTCTCGTCCTTTCCTCATAGCCCAGCTTCCTATATTTTATGAACCAGTTTAAAAGGCCTATTCCAGATTGTCTCTACTTACTCTGTCTGCATTCATAGTTGGGATTCCACAGTCGGCTTCGGTATTCTAGGCCTGATGCGAAATAGGCAGTGTATAACGGCCTAAAAGTGTCATTGTTAATGTTTTTAAAAGTTACACTGATGTTCGCCAGAGATGCATACGCTGCTGTGTTTTGCAAAGTTTTCTCTGCAACACCAGTACAAAAACATTTTCAATTTGTCCAAACTCAATAATACCGATTTCTAGCTTCTAATTGCCTTTTACGTCAATATATGTACGATGGTCCTCAAGGTTACTATAAGTACTAACTAAACAGGAGGATGGGCTGCATCTTTCATTATACTCTCAGCATGCATATACACGTGGCCTAATGTGATGATGTTGGTGATGTTCCTCCTGCAGGAGGGCGGCTGATCGAGGAGTACAACAGGGGCGGAGGGAAGGAGGTGGAGCGACTCATCCTGGAAGAGTTTGGCATCTTCCTGTACAACCACGGGAGAGGCATGGACATCACTCGTACGGAGTACCTTAAGTGGAAGTACAGGAAGGTCCCCAAGGACCAGGTAAGGAAGGACAGGAAGGTGGCCAAGAACCAGGTAAGGAAGTACAAGAAGGTCCCCCAAGGACCAGGTAAGGAAGGACAGGAAGGTGGCCAAGGACCAGGTAAGGAAGTACAAGAAGGTCCCCCAAGGACCAGGTAAGGAAGTACAAGAAGGTCCCCCAAGGACCAGGTAAGGAAGTACAAGAAGGTCCCCCAAGGACCAGGTAAGGAAGTACAAGAAGGTCCCCCAAGGACCAGGTAAGGAAGTACAAGAAGGTCCTCCAAGGACCAGGTAAGGAAGTACAAGAAGGTCCCCCAAGGACCAGGTAAGGAAGTACAAGAAGGTCCTCCAAGGACCAGGTAAGGAAGGACAGGAAGGTGGCCAAGGACCAGGTAAGGAAGGACAGGAAGGTGGCCAAGGACCACCAATAATTTAGCTTGTTATAATGTCACTTTCAAATAAATCCGTAAAACCTTTTAATAGAAAAAGTGGTGATAAATTATAAGTTTTTGTATGTTAAAAATGTGTAATAAACTTGTAATATTCTAGCATTATACTCATAATAACTTGTTAAATATGCTCATTATATATACAGTAAATAGATACCTGGGAGTAAGGCGACTGTTGTGGGCTGTGTCCTGGGTAAGAGCATTCGTAGGCCCAACCTGACCTCCATAGGCTTCCTGCACCCCCCCCCCCCTCAGAGGAGGGAACTATCAGGGGAAAAGCACCAAGCCATTACGACTATATATATATATGCCCCCCTGGGACAACGGGAATTATGAGTACGGGTCAAGTGAGGTTGAGCCATCCACCTGACGCTCCCCTACGTCCACCCCCCCCTTACAGATGGTGGTGCAGATGGAGAGGAAGAGCCCCTTCGACCCCCTCCACAGGTGGAAGGACCACGAGGCGTGCTGGCAGATGCAGTTCCGCGGGTCGCTCGGGGAGACGCTGCTCCACGTCCTCATCATGTGCGACACGAAGGCTCACACCCGGGTCGCCAAGATCCTCCTCAGGTGCTTCCCCAAGCTCGCCGTCGACGTGGTCGAGGGGGAGGAGTACCTAGGTCAGTGGTCAGGGGGGTGGGGGGCAGTGGGCCCCCCCTGGGGCAGGGGCTGCGCGGAAAGGGGGGAAGGGGAAGGAAGAGGGGTTACTGGGCCAAGAAAAAGGTGTTCACTCGATTTAACAAGCGTTAGAATTAAGAAAATAAGAATTTAGGAAACTGCAGAAGACCTATTGACCCATATGAGAGGCGTATCCCACGTCCATTGTCACCAGATAATCTGTTCCACAAATCAACAACCCAGTTTACAAGCCAGTATTTAACCAGGTCTCTCCTATGTTTAATTTTATCCAGTTTATGTGCATATATTTCATACCATATTAATACCCCCCTCCCCCCCGTGTCATGCCCATTCATCTACCTGTATACTTCCATGTCACCCCAACCCTTCACTTTTCTACAGCGTGTACATTAAGCTTTACCAATCTCTGACATAACGTGAACCACCACAGGAGCGAGCGCTCTGCACCTGGCCATCGCTTACTCCAACAACGAGCTGGTGACCATCTTGGTGGCTGCTGGTGCCGACTTCACTCAGAGAGCTGTTGGTGAGTGGGTATGGTACCCTCTGGTGAGTGGGTATGGTACCCTCTGGTGAGTGGGTATGGCACCCTCTGGTGAGTGGGTATGGCACCCTCTGGTGAGTGGGTATGGTACCCTCTGGTGAGTGGGTATGGCACCCTCTGGTGAGTGGGTATGGCACCCTCTGGTGAGTGGGTATGGCACCCTCTGGTGAGTGGGTATGGCACCCTCTGGTGAGTGGGTATGGCAACCTCTGGTGAGTGGGTATGGCACCCTCTGGTGAGTGGGTATGGCACCCTCTGGTGAGTGGGTATGGCACCCTCTGGTGAGTGGGTATGGCACCCTCTGGTGAGTGGGTATGGCACCCTCTGGTGAGTGGGTATGGCACCCTCTGGTGAGTGGGTATGGCACCCTCTGGTGAGTGGGTATGGCACCCTCTGGTGAGTGGGTATGGCACCCTCTGGTGAGTGGGTATGGCACCCTTTGGTGAATGAATATGCCACACTCTGGTGAGTAAGTATGGCACCTGCAACTCCGTTTTCTTTGGCGACCCCCTACTCATTCAGATTCAGCTCTAACGAAGCTCATATCATTTAATAACCCGTAGTATTTCAAAGATTTACTTTGAGACACTTGCTTTAACTTTCGTCTGAAGCTTATATCTCAGTTATTGTGGATCATTTTGGTATGTCGTAGAAGCCCCCCAGACCTTGGTGTCAACCTGGGGTTTACAATCATTCAGTCATGACCACTCACAGCTTTGTAGACCCCTGATGTAGTTGACCAATTAACCTAAGTCGACCACTAGGGACTATAGTAGAGGTTCTTGTAGCGTACAGCACTCCTCATCATCACCCACCCTACCTTCTCCTCTATACCTCAAAATACATCCCAGAATCGTGTCTATTTTGCATCTCAGAATACACAGACTCATATTTATTTTGTATTTCAGGCACAGACTCAACCGTCTCTAGTGCTTCACACCTTCTCTTAATTCCTCTCAACATTGCAGGGAGTTTCTTCCTGCCGAAGGACCAGCAAGTGACGTGTCCGCCGGGCCCCGAGAACACTGACTACGAGGGCTTGGCTTACCTGGGCGAGTACCCGCTCTCCTGGGCCGCCTGTCTGGGCAACGAGACCGTCTACAACAAGCTCCTCGACTTCGGAGCGGACCCCAACGCCCAGGACTCCTTCGGCAACATGATCCTGCACATGGTGGTCGTCTGCAACCAACTGGTGAGCTCCTCACTCACTTCCACCTCCAGAAAGAACACCAGTTCTTTACGAATCTTACTTCTTCTTGTTCTCGCGGTATATTTATTGACAGTAGAACCGCAGGTGAATGTGGCAGGCTTGATATTTTCCTGTATTTTGGGTAGTTAACGTATGATGTGGTTAGTGCCACGTGTGGGTCTCTGGTGCCACGTGTGGGTCTCTGGTGCCACGTGTGAGCCTCTAGTGCCACGTGTGGGTCTCTAGTGCCACGTGTGAGCCTCTAGTGCCACGTGTGGGTCTCTGGTGCCACGTGTGGGTCTCTGGTGCCACGTGTGAGCCTCTAGTGCCACGTGTGGGTGTCTGGTGCCACGTGTGGGTCTCTGGTGCCACGTGTGAGCCTCTAGTGCCACTTGTGGGTCTCTGGTGCCACAACTATACCTCCAACACTCCCTTGTTTACACGTCCAACATAAACAAGGAATAATAACAGGCTGCTGTTATTCTAAGCGAACACACGCAGTCGAGGCAAGTGTTTGACGATATTATTTTCGCATTCGTCGGATTTTTTTTGTTAAATACTTGCTAACGCACTTTGTTATTAATTTCTGTGAAATAAATGGGACGGAGAGCTTCCCTGGGGTGGTGATCGTTGATGGAGAGAGAGAGAGAGAGAGAGAGAGAGAGAGAGAGAGAGAGAGAGAGAGAGAGAGAGAGAGAGAGAGAGAGAGAGAGAGAGAGAGAGAGAGAGAGAGAGAGACAGACAGACAGACAGACAGACAGACAGACAGACAGACAGACAGACAGACAGACAGACAGACAGACAGACAGACAGACAGACAGACAGACAGACAGAGATATATAACATTTCCAGTTACGTTCGTTTCCCTTTAAAAAAAAATCGTGACTATCACCATTACATGACCCAACACTAAACAAATGTGATCATTTTTAAACGGTGATTGTTATCGTGAACCGGACATTAGTTTATAATAATAATAATAATAATAATACTTTATTCACAAGAAGGTACAATGGGTTGGTGAGATTACATAAGAATTTTACATTCATGCCAAGCCACTGACACGCATAGCGTTAGTGGGCAGGATATAGGAATTTATTGTGGTGTTCTCCTATATACCTGCAGGAGTCGTGCATCAGCTCCTGGGCCCAGTCTCTCAAACCAAAGTCAGTAAATAAGGTTTCAAGCGTAGGTTAGACAAATATATGAATGAGTTTGGGTGGATATAAGCATGAGGCATCTCGTGAAAGTCAAGAAGGGCTTCTACCGTTCCATTTACTCTTATATTCTGTTCTTATGTACATGTGTCCCCCTCGTTCATGCCCTCCCAGCTGCCTTTGACATGGTTGACATTGGTGCTGCATATTCCAGAACTAGTCTGACATACGTGAGTGATGCACTGTGTGAGTGAAGGTGACAATGAGGGTGCAGAGGCTCTTTATGAGTATGTATATGTATCTGTATGTATTTGTGAATAATAATAATTAAATTATCCTTATCTCGGGTACAAAGGAATTAAATTTTTTAATTTAGAGTAAAGATGAGTAAGCGCTTGAGTGATGAAAGGGATTTGTGAATAGCCTCTGGGGAGGGGGGGGGGAGTTGCCTGACCGGAAACAGCATCGCTTCAGAATTTAAATACAAAAATATATGTTACTTGTTTTTATGGATCTCTAAAGTTTTATTTATTTAATCTGAATGTAAATAATTGTTAAGAGAGCCGGTTAATGCTCTCTTTCCCCCCCCCTCGTCCCTGCCTGAATCCCTACCCCCCTAAGCCTCCTCCATCCCCCTGTCTCCACCCCCCTGTCTCCACCCCCCTGTCTCCACCCCCACCTGTTTCCACCCCCCTGTCTCCACCCCCCCTGTCTCCACCCCCCTGTCTCCACCCCCCCCCTGTCTCCACCCCCCCCCTGTCTCCACCCCCCTGTCTCCACCCCCCTGTCTCTACCCCCTGTCTCCAGCCCCCTGTCTCCACCCCCCCCTGTATCCACCCCCTCCCTCCTGTACTCCTGTAGAGAACGCTGCCCTCTGTATTCTCCTGCTGCTGAAGATTTTCTCTCATGGTTCTCCTCATGCTCCTGTAAGAGATTCTCCTCCTCACCGCCGCTCCTCCTGCAGGGGATGTTCTCCTACGCCCTGCGGCACCCGCGGCTCCCAGCGCAGGACGGGATCATGAACCTGGCGGGGCTGACGCCGCTGACGCTAGCCTGCAGACTGGCCCGCTCCACCATCTTCAAGGAGATGCTGGAGCTCACCTGCATCGAGTTCTGGCGCTACTCCAACATCACCTGCAGCGCCTACCCGCTCAACGCCCTCGACACCATCCGGCCCAGCGGCGAGACCAGTGAGCTCGCGCCAACTGAACACCTCAGGAGATTAGGAAGTTTTCAGGGGGAGATTGTATGGAGTTTGTCGGGGAGATTAGTGAGTTTAGGTCGACGTTAATGAATTATTGAGGAAATTTGTTAGTTATGGGGAGCTTATTGAGTTTAGGGGGAGATTTGGGAATTTGATGGCGGGGAGATCAATATGTTTGAGTGGAGATAAGCGAGTTTGGAGTGATTAAAGTATTTGATTGAAACTAAAGAGTTTGGAAAATTTGGAAATTTGTGCTGGTAGATTAGTGAATTTTGGGAAAATAATTAAATTTGTGGTTAGGGAGTTTGGGATGTTCAGTTCAATTAGCTGTGTAGAGTAGGAAGTGTGTTGAATTTGTTTTTTAAAAGATAAATGAGTTTGAATGTTGGGATTAGTGCTTCACTGTGAGTTAATGCATCTGTTTGGTATATTAATGAGTTTGTGAGGCTAGAGAATTTGGAGGGAGGGATTTATGTTTCCTTGTGAATGAATGAGATTGGCGGGAATATTAGAGCGCTTTGAAGGTGAGATTGCAGAGTTTTACTGGCTGTGAGATAAGTGAGTTTGAGATTAGGTAATGAGACGAGTAATATTATTCTGAAAACAGCTTCATCGACGGATGTATTGGTGAGAGGAATAAATCTCGTGAGATTAGGGCCAATTAAGTTGTGGGAGTTTTTGAGTTTATGAGCTTAGCGAAATTCCGTTAATGTTTACGTTCCCCCTCAGACAAAACCATTCCCGTTACCTCCGTTGGTCTCCCCTCAGGATGTATAATGCTCTCCCCCTATTGCCTCTGTTGGTCTCCCCTCAGGATGTATAATGCTCTCCCCCTATTGCCTCTGTTGGTCTCCCCTCAGGATGTATAATGCTCTCCCCCTATTGCCTCTGTTGACTGCGTTGTGTCACCTCCGCAGACTGGAACTCCGCCCTCATGATCATACTGAACGGCACGAAGAGCGAGCACCTGGACATGCTGGAGGGCGGGATCATCCAGCGGCTCCTGGAGGAGAAGTGGAAGACCTTCGCCAGGGTGAGTTAGTGGCTCGCAGGTCTGCGGTGGGTGAGGTATGGGTGTTATACTCTCCTACGGTCTCTCCCACAGTAACCCTCCCTCTCTCCCTCTACAGAACCAGTTCCTCAAGCGTCTAGCCATCATGTTGCTCCAGCTGATACTGCTAAGTGTTGCTGTGTACCTTCGTCCTTGCTACTGTGGGCCCAAGAACATGCAGAGGGTCAGTGTCATTCTCTCTGTCTCTCTCTCTGTCTCTCTCTGTCTCTGTCTGTCTGTCTGTCTGTCTGTCTGTCTCTCTCTCTCTCTCTCTCTCTCTCTCTCTCTCTCTCTCTCTCTCTCTCTCTCTCTCTCTCTCTCTCTCTCTCTCTCTCTCTCTTCCTGCCATAAACAGAAATCTGCATTTTCACTCTTAATGGAATTGGGACAAATTAGCTGACGTATTGACGTATTGGCCAACATTATACCTTTATCCAATTTTGCTATAACTTTGACAAATCAGATCGAATTACATTTAGTTAGCAAAAATTACCTTGCCAGGCAATTTCACTTCGACACATCGTTTAGCAGAAATGGTATAGATACAGGTGGCTATTTAACTTGCTTCAGGGTTAATTACGGACATATCATTCAAATTGGTTATTAAGTAATAACTATGTTACTGTAAAGATGGTTATATAACATGCATGTTTAGATACATCTAATTCTATAAAAGAGAATGTTTGTCTGTTCGAAGTTGGGAGCCAGGCGCTTAGAGTTAGCCTCACCAAACCTTGCAGGATGACTGGTCTGTGATCTGGGATAGTCATAGCCGGGTCAGGTTCACGCTCCACCACCCCCACACCACACCACACACCACACCCCACACCACACCCCACACCACCCCCACACCACACCCCACACCCCACACCACACCCCACACCACACCCCACACCACCCCCACACCACACCACACACCACACCCCACACCACATCCCACACCACACCCCACACCACCCCCACACCACACCACACACCACACCCCACTCACCCTTCTTTGCATGAAATGGCAAATGACACATTTTCCCAATCTCGGTAAATAAAAGACTTAATCCTCACTGATTCAGTGCATAAATTTTGATTAAATGTTAGTTTCTCTTATGAAAAATAAATTGATGAAGGCAGTATTTAGTTCAAATGGTAAAATGGTTAAAGAGAAAATGAAGAGTAGAGAGAGTGGTGAAGGGTAGGGATGGTGGTGAAGGGTAGGGAAGGTGATGGAGGGTAGGGAAGGTGATGGAGGGTAGGGAAGGTGATGGAGGGTAGGGAAGGTGATGGAGGGTAGGGAAGGTGGTGGAGGGTAGGGAATGCGAAGGAGAGGGTTGTAGATGGGGTTCCCGGCGGTGCCCGGGTATAGTGTTGATGGTTATAGAGACCGGGTTGGTCGGATGCTGTACCATCATGGCCGAGTCGGTTAGGCCAAGTGTCTGGGATTCACCAGAACGCGAGTCCGAGTCACTCTATTGTCTCAAAATGATTGTATTTGAAATATCATGCAATTGTGATTTCTTTGTGACATATAATCATATATATATATACTGCTGCAAGATTACATATACTAATAATCTTGCAGCAGAGTTACAAGTGTATATATATATAGCTTTACAATGAAGATTGCGAGATGGCATACGAGCATCACCTGGCTAACGACCTCCTCGTGACAGAACAAGCCGGAGATAAGGAAGATGCTCTACGACGAGTTCTTCGACAATGACTTCAAGAGCATCGCCAGGTACTGCTTCGAGGGAGGTACCCTGGCCGGAGTGATCTCCTACGTCGTCTTCCAGCAGGGGGAGGAGATTATGAACCAGGGGCTCTCCTCCTTCATGAGGGGCTTGGTGAGTGGTACTGGAGCATGGCCTTCATGCGGAGCGTGGTGAGTGGTACTGGAGCATGGCCTTCATGCGGGGCGTGGTGAGTGGTACTGGAGCATGGCCTTCATGAGGGGCGTGGTGAGTGGTACTGGAGCATGGCCTTCATGCGGGGCTTGGTGAGTGGTACTGGAGCATGGCCTTCATGCGGGGCGTGGTGAGTGGTACTGGAGCATGGCCTTCATGCGGGGCTTGGTGAGTGGTACTGGAGCATGGCCTTCATGCGAGGCTTGGTGAGTGGTACTGGAGCATGGCCTTCATGCGGGGCTTGGTGAGTGGTACTGGAGCATGGCCTTCATGAGGGGCGTGGTGAGTGGTACTGGAGCATGGCCTTCATGCGGGGCTTGGTGAGTGGTACTGGAGCATGGCCTTCATGAGGGGCTTGGTGAGTGGTACTGGAGCATGGCCTTCATGAGGGGCTTGGTGAGTGGTACTGGAGCATGGCCTTCATGCGGGGCGTGGTGAGTGGTACTGGAGCATGACCTTCATGAGGGGCGTGGTGAGTGGTACTGGAGCATGGCCTTCATGAGGGGCGTGGTGAGTGGTACTGGAGCATGGCCTTCATGAGGGGCGTGGTGAGTGGTACTGGAGCATGGCCTTCATGAGGGGCGTGGTGAGTGGTACTGGAGCATGACCTTCGTGAGAGGCGTGGTGAGTGGTACTGGAGCATGGCCTTCATGAGGGGCGTGGTGAGTGGTACTGGAGCATGGCCTTCATGAGGGGCGTGGTGAGTGGTACTGGAGCATGACCTTCGTGAGGGACGTGGTCAACAGGCTGAGAGTCTGGCGTCAGACATGTACCTCGCGTCAGGCTGCGTCAGCCATGTTATGTGGCTGGTGTCTTTTTTGTAGCTGTCTTAAAATATGACAAACTTTTTGTGTATATTCTCAATTGGCTGTTTTATATATAACAGAAATTTTTTCACGTTCTAAAGCGGCGTTAACAAAAGTTTGCCCTTTGAACAAAATTGTGCGTTATTAAAAATGTTTAATTTAGGTCTTGCTTTTTAGCATACGAAAACTTCAACGGAGTTTAAAAGGTTGAAAGTAATTTAGTTTTTCCTGGAGGAGTTAATGTCTAACAGGTGGACGATTTTCCCGACCTGTCCAGGCGGGATATTGTCCAACAGGTGGCTACTTTTATTGTGTCCACCCGTTAATATCTAACAGGAGGCCCCTTCCCCCGTTGTGTCCAGGCCGGCAACGCTCCTAAGGCCATCTTCATGGTGGCCAACCTGCTCATCATGCTGGTGGTTCCCTGTCGCATCGTCTACTTCTTCAAGCCCGAGATGCTGGTCCTCAGGGCCCTCGAGGACGAGCTCCTCTCCTACGCCGTGGCCGGGTCCTGGTTCATGCTCATGTTCTTCGCCGGGTAAGTCTTAGTTCGAGATCAGGAGCGCCACTAGCCACCCCTCAGCCTCTGCACTGCACCTTTGCACTAATATTTGCAATTGACCACATGCAAAGGTGTCCCCTTGTATGTCTGCTCAAGTGTACCTTGTTTTGTTTTATAAGTACATTCTTGAAGGTTCTTGACGATGTTCATAAAAAAAATTGTGGGTTTCACAGGTCTTCCTCGACACTCATTTAATCTGTCTTAACTTCTACCATTTTCAGTTGACCTTCTTGCTCTGAGCACCTATTTCTTCGGGGAAGGAGTGCCAGGTTTTCAGACATTCCTGAGAGCAGTTGAGTGTGACTTCTGAAGCCCTCTTTCTTACCACGTAATAGGAGACAGACAAAGCGTGTCCCATCCTCCAAGAAGGAGCACCGTCGTTCAGTAAAGTCATAGAGCCCTATTTTCCCCCCACCCCCCCCTTTTCGCTCTAGTTTCATTCATGCTGTTGGGAAGTGGAGCAGGTATAGCAAGGCTGTGTTGTTTCATCCAAGAGCCAGATGAATATTTGAATACTAGAGCCCCTGATGAACTCGTTGCCATGGCGCCTGAAGAAACCAATCAATAAATCTCTCTCTTTTTTTTCCACCTACCCTCACCCGCATGCTCACTCTCGCTCTTTCTTACACACTCTCTCTCTCACTTTCACTCTCTTCGTCTCACTTTCACTCTCTCTCTCTCTCTCTTTCTCTGGCAGAGCGCTGAAGCTGACGGGGCCGTTCGTGGTGATGATCTACAAGATGATCACGGGCGACATGTTCACCTTCTCCATCATCTACTTCATCATGCTGCTGGGCTTCTCCGAGGCCTTCTACTTCCTCTACAAGAGCCCCAAGTATGACAAGGACAGCAAGTACGCCTCCTATGGCACCACCTGGATGGCTCTCTTCCACATGACCCTCGGCGACTATGACGTGAGTCTCCTCTCTACTTCCTCTACACCTTCCTTACTCTTCTCCTTCCTCTTTTCTTCCTTATCCTCCTCCTCCTCCATAAGCCCAATCCTCATCCTCCGATATTTATCTCCTTAATTAAAGCGTTTGATTTCAATTTGCCATATTGTGTTATTTTGTACATTTTCTTGAACTCTGTATATCGTGTTGTCTGGCTACATCAAAGATGGAGCGCGGGCTGACGTGTGTGGTGTTCTGTGGCTGTTGTGGTGACGTGTGTGGTGTTCTGTGGCTGTTGTGGTGACGTGTGTGGTGTTCTGTGGCTGTTGTGGTGACGTGTGTGGTGTTCTGTGGCTGTTGTGGTGACGTGTGTGGTGTTCTGTGCCTGTTGTGGTGACGTGTGTGGTGTTCTGTGGCTGTTGTGGTGACGTGTGTGGTGTTCTGTGGCTGTTGTGGTGACGTGTGTGGTGTTCTGTGGCTGTTGTGGTGACGTGTGTGGTGTTCTATGACTGTTGTGGTGACGTGTGTGTTATTCTGTGGCTGTTGTGGTGACGTGTGTGGTGTTCTGTGGCTGTTGTGGTGACGTGTGTGGTGTTCTGTGACTGTTGTGGTGACGCAGGTGTCCCCCCTCCCCCCTGTGACCGTCCCAGTGTGTGTACTAACTAGTGTGGGAGTTGTGTGGCGGGAGTGAAGACAACACCGATCACTGGCGCCAATTTAAGAGCGCCGCCGGCGACGGCCGGGTTCGTCTCCACAGTACGCCGGGATGAACCTCAACATCTACAGCGCCATGAGCAAGTTCGTGTTCCTCGTGTTCACCATCATGCTGCCCATCATGTTGTTGAACATGCTCATCGCTATGATGGGTAACACCTACAGCACCGTCATCTCCATGTCCGAGAAGGAGTGGGTCAAGGCCGTGAGTATATCGCTGTACTCATCCTCACTTTCTCTCTCTGCTAGACTAACATCTTCCTCACAGCTCATTGGACTGACACCCGCGGGGTTCTACAGGACTGACACATTCACCGAGAAATAGAGCACTCGAATCATAAATGTTTCACTTGAAGTATGTGCATTCACATCCAGTGTATTCATTCATTACATACATGTGATGCTTATTGACCTGAAACAAATAGTAATTGGCTAATAAAAAAGACGAGAGAGAGAGAGAGAGAGAGAGAGAGAGAGAGAGAGAGAGAGAGAGAGAGAGAGAGAGAGAGAGAGAGAGAGAGAGAGAGAGAGAGAGAGAAAGAGAGAGAGAGAGATTATTTTCGATCACATAATTTACAATACTATTATCAATACTCCTGTTATTATAACAACTATACACAAGTATTAGGATGAATGGCTACCAGCACGAGGGTCAGCACTGTACCACCTATGACCTTCCCTCCCCCGGGAGCAGTGGGCGAAGATCGTGATCGCCCTGGAGCGAGCCATCTCTCAGGAGAAGGCCAAGGACTACCTGTACATGTACAGCCTGCCTATAGGAGGCGGCGGTGACGGAGGCGAGGAGAGCCTGGGCGTCATGGTCATCAAGAGCAAGGACAAGACCAAGGCCAAGCAGAGGAAGGGAGCCCTTAGTAACTGGAAGGTACGGGCCTTAAGGTGGAGTATACGGGCTGTTGTATAGTGTGGGGAGGAGTCAGGTCTATTGTGGTGGGAGGGGTTGATGTTGTGGTAGAGTGGTTGCTGTGTGGAGGACGAGGGACCTCCTGGGGGGACGAGGGAGGTCCTGGGGGACGAGGGAGGCCCTTGGGACGAGGGAGGCCCTTGGGACGAGGAAGGTCCTGGGGACGAGGAAGGTCCTTGGGACGAGGAAGGTCCTGGGGACGAGGAAGGTCCTGGGGACGAGGAAGGTCCTGGGGACGAGGAAGGTCCTGGGGGACGAGGGAGGCCCTTTGGACGAGGAAGGTCCTGGGGACTAGGAAGGTCCTGGGGACGAGGAAGGTCCTGGGGGACGAGGAAGGCCCCGGGAGACGAGGGAGGTCCTGGGGGACGAGGGAGGCCCTTGGAACGAGGGAACTTTATCAATTTTATTCCATAAACAATATATTTTTTTCCCACGGCTGTTTCACATCTTCATACTCATTTCTCTCTGTGACCTTCGCCTGTGACCCTGGCTGTGACCCTGCCTGACCTGACCTCTGGCAGCGTGTGGGTCGGGTCACCATCGACGCCCTACAACGTCGGGGAGTGTCTGGAGAGTTCCTCCGGCGGGAGATGTGGGGTCTTCAGACCGCTGCCTCCACACCTGTCAAGGGGTACGTCACACACACCTGTATCTGCCTCACACCCTGTAACTGCCTCACACCTGTATCTACCAGACACTTTTATTTTCAAAATTGTTTTCCCGCAGATATTTTAAATTTTACAAAACCTGACTATGAAACAGATCCAAATAGCACACACTCGCGCTGTCTTTAAGAAGAATGTAAGTAGACTTTCCAGTAAATGAAGCTCCTGTATAGAGCACCGTTCATACTGGGCCTAGGGAAGAGAACTATCAGGGGGAAAGCGCCAAGTCATTACGACTATATAGTACTGGGAAGGGGTCAGGATAAGGATTAGGGATGGGACGGGGGAAAGAAGGAATGGCACCCAACCACTTGGACAGTCGGGGATTGAACGCCGACCTGCATGAAGCGAGACCGTCGCTCTACCGTCCACCCCAAGTGGTTGGGCACCTGCTGGTCTAGAGTACACCTACTGTTACTTTCCTATCACTTAAGCTCCTTGATCGGTATAAATTTATAGACTTTTGAAATAGAAATTTTGATAAAGCTAATAATTTTCAGTTTTAAGCACAGTGATTACTTTTACCACTAAGAAATATTTGTTATATATCCTGTTGTTGGCAATATAACTTACATCATCAGAATGCTCTTTTAAACATGTTTTAAATTTTTTGTTCGCATCCCGGCTCCTTCTGCGAGCTACAGCAGCTTTGTCTCTCCTCAGACCTGCGAAGAAGAAGGGTTACGGTGGTCTCCTGGGTACGGAGACTGGCCCCGCCACCGGGGACATCTTGGGTGACGCTCTCAACCAGACCATGTTCGCCACCGACAGTGTCGACCCCAACGACGAGATGGACGGCTTCGGTGCCCTCACTGGCGCCATCGACCAGCTTGCCTTCACCCACGATCTCGACTTCTCCGGGGACGGCGTCGATGACGATCCTCTGAAGCCCAATATGGTTGGCCAGGCGCCCAATACTCTAGCTCCTCCTGCACACCTGCCAGTCGTCCCTGAGAGGAAGAAGAAGAAGAAGCGACGCGACTCTGAAGGATACGACAACCCAGCTTTCCTGGACGACGAGGAACTACTGCTGGCTTCTGCCCTCGGTGGCGGAGACTCCGATGACTCCGACACCGACATGCTGGAGGCCCGCCGCCTCTCCAAGCCGCGGATCATCATCCAGGCAGAAACGGAAACAGCCTCCGTCACCACCACCTCCGGGGCGAAGGCAGCAGCAGCACCGGCCACAGGGAAAGCTCCGGTTGCCGCTGCCTCCAAGACCCCAAAGGCCCCTGTAAAGCCTGAGGTTGCTGAAGTCCCCGCTATCATGCCGCGGCCTCGGCTGACGTCCGCCAAAATGAGACGCATCGGCTCCGCTCGCAAGACTCCCGCACGATTCGCCATGACCTTCACCGAAAAGTACGACCCAGTGGGCAAGGTAGATGCGGTGAAAGTCCCGGTGACGACTAAGTCCCAAGCCACTACTCACGACCAGAAGCCCGAAGTATGCGAGAAAAAGGACAACAGAAAGGGAAAGAAGAGTGAGGAAGCTGTTCCCGCGGCCCCCGAAGACGCAAGTGTCGACGACAACGGCGAGAAATGGGCGGAGAAGAAGCCGCGACGAAGCAAGAATAAAGTCGGCCCATCAAGCAGCTCGGAGGAAAGTGCCACTGGCGCCGACCAGCAGACGCAGGATGACCTCAGTGTGGGCCTCCAGTCCGGGTCAGACTCCACGCGTGACGAGGTGAGGGCTAAGGAGAAGGAGCGCCCCAAGACCTCTGTGGCTAGCCAGAAGATGAAGAAGCGAGCGACGGAGAACGTGGGCAACATGAACAGCATCTTGCCCTGGGATAATGACGACGGAGACATCAAGTAAAATATTCCTGCAAATGCACCATATTAAAACCAGTTTACTTTATTTGTCAACTGAATGCAGTCAAAATAATATTGTTACTGTACAGGCGCTGCGCTTCAGATGTTGCATATCATCACACGTCATAGAGTTATAAACATAACAAATAACCGGATTAATTGTTTTATGGAACTAATGTCGCCGTGAAGGGATCTCACCGACATAATAATCAACCACGTGTGTCCTAATTTCGCTTAACTAGACTAACTCTAGCTAGACCTGCTGCCTGGGTAACAGCTTCTCCTCCATGTCAACCTACCCTGGCTTTGCGCCCTAGTGAGGCCACTCCAGAGTGCAACACCATAGTTGCCTGAGACTGATGGATGTCTACTTCTACTAGAGTACAATGTAGCTCAAAGTATGAACAATTGTTCTCTTTCCCCTACCACTAGTTAATACACTTCTTAGCGCAGAAAAAGAAGGGCAGAAGGACATCCTAGGTGACATGCAGTCCTTCTTAAACTTAGATTCTAACCAGTCGTAGTCTTATAGCTAACTCGAAGTTTCTCACTCTAGTAGCTAATTACAGGAGTTACTACTGAAGCAGCTAATTTTAAAAAAAAGCTTCCCACTGATGCAGTTAATTTGAAGAGCCCGCTACTGGCCTTTATTATGCTTGAAATTTGTTTTCGCAATCAAACAAATAAAATAAGATACAACATATCTTATTATAGTGAATCATTGTAGCAGATGTTCACATGTATTAATTATACCTAACATTATCTATCTATATCTATATCAGCATATCTAAACCAGGTTATTGGTCTAATTAAGCTACTGATGCAGGCTATTGGTCCAAGCTATTGACAGACAATCCCGTTCCAGCAACTAAGCAACACATCAACAGATGCCCAGAATGGTTGCTATGGCAACCTAAGAAACTTTCAAGTGAAATTCAATACGTTAGAGCTACAATCCACAACTCGTAACACGAGATCTACAACCACGTCGATCTTTAACAACTCTTTATATAACAAAGGAAAGTAACTTATTGGAGAAGATGCTAGTCATTATAACGTCATGTAATGAAGTCTATTTCTTTACAGATATTTCAACGTTTCAGTGTTATTAACCACACACCTCTATACTTGTATTGTTCCTGCAATATAACTAGTTCCTAAATATTATCAAATAAATTATAATACAAAATTAATTGTCTATTAATTAATAACAGTGCGTGGACGAAGTATTTACCGTGTTGTGGTTCGAACAAAAGTCGTCAGTGAAGCACTTGTTCCGGAAGTGTTCGAACTACATCAGTTGTGAGTCGTGTGTAAACCTGTTTTTCATTCATAAATAAAGACTTTGGCGGGTGCAATGGAATGTACGTTGGCCTTTGTTTATGAGAATGGGCTGCATTAGTGATTGAACAACTGGGTCGAGGACTCGGAGTTGTTCAGCTGCTCCAAGACGTTGAGGTCTTGTCTATGACAGCCGGCCGTCAGTGGAGTGATAGCGCTGTGAGTGCGAGGAGGGAGGGGGGGGGTGCTGCCGGCTTCTTAGTCATCTCTTATAACAGAGGACACAACTTGCCTAAGAGGGCAAATCTGTAAGGTAAGAGATGTCTATATGTTCACAGATACAATGTTTTAGGTTTCCTGAGGTATTTACTACCTGTGCTCGAGCTAGGCCCGTGCAGGCGGCGGCCCAACTCAAAGACGCATTCGTCAATTTTAACGTTCGGCGTTTGAAGGTAATATTACATGCTAATATGTGTTTAATAGTTAGGCTTAACTTAGGTCAGCTCAGGTGGTTAGGATCTGTTGGCTATTACTGGAACAACCTGTCCTCAGACCCAAGCTCGTTACAGCGGCGGCCGTCTTCCTGAGACCATTCAACAATTTTATACGTTGTGCATTAAACTTGGTTTTGTTCTCATATACAAGTTAATATTATTATATTAATACTTTTATATGTGTAGTAAAATGTAGGCTAGGTTAAATGGTTTAGATTCTGTTGGCGAGAGTTTGTATTGAAGCACGTGGGTGAAGCATTTACAGCGTTGTGGTTCGAACAGAGGTCATCGGCGAAGCATTCTGCTAGAAATGTTCGAATATCATCAGTTGTGAGTCGTGTGTAAACCTGTTTTTTTTTCATTCATAAACAGCTGGGGTTTGGCGGCTGGATTAACGAGCATTTGTCCTTTTGATAGTGATGACAGGGTGAGTATTGCCCACGTAGCGAACATTACAGTTTGAACATTTAACATTATTAAACATTACTGTCCACAAATTAGCTTCATTTCGTGTTTATCAATAATCATAATATTGGAAACTATTTTAAAAACAGAGATCCTTTACCCTTTGATCTGGTACCTCTTACCTTCTTAAGATCACTTCTAATATAAAAGCTTACAGAACCTACAGAAGGAAACATGATATACCGAATATCTTTAGTTACTGGGAATTTTAACAGTAGGTGAGAATTTAGTATTTAGGAATTTCGTCAAAATCCTCCCTAAGCATTTTGCTTAGAAAAGCAATTGAATCAAAGAAGTACTGTAGTGAAATAAGTAAATTCCAACATCAAATAATTTATAATCGAAGCAAAGATCGAAAACTTTATTTAAAAAGTTTTCCCCTGTCCTGTGAATTTACAATGAACATAAGAAGAAAATTGGCCACCAGTGTTGGTAATTAATGAGCTAAGAAGGGCTGTTTTGGAGGGAACTATTAGGGAGAAAGTGCCAAGCCATTACGACTATATAACACTTAGAAGGGGTCAGGATAAGGATTTGGGATGGGACGGAGGGAAGGAATGGTGCCCAACCACTTGTGGACGGTCGGGGCTTGAACGCCGACCTGCATGCAGTGAGACCGCCGCTCTACCGTTTAGCCCAAGTGATTGGACGTGCTATTTTAGAGTTAATCATAATAATATAAATAAATGTCAAGTTTAAATGGTTTATAATAATAAGAGACCAACACATCCGCATGTGAGCGGTCAGCGAAGATTATAAAAGAAACTTCTATATAAATAATTAATCATCAGCACCCCAGCAATTGTTGGCGGGCAGGCGCGCGCGCGCGGCCTCGCAGATAAGCACGTAACTTACATTGTTTCCAACAGTCGGGGGACAGGAAACTAATTAAGCAATTACTGGCCTCTCCAAGAATTCAACCTACAACAGTTTCCTGACTCCCGGGGTATCTGCTTGCTGCTAGGTGAACAAAGGCATCAGGTGAAAGGAAACGTTGCCCAAATGCATCTATCCTGCCGTTGGGAACAGACCAGCAACCTTTCGGGTGCACACAGTTTCAGCCCCGCTCCTGTGCCAGGTAAGTTCACTTCGGCCTCACCATAGCCCGTGCTATTTGGAACTTTTTGTTCCGAGTAATAGGCATCCAGCAGTCCTGGGAGACTATGGAGTTGCCCTCTAGTTGCCGAGGTTGACCTCTCCAGGGCGCCAAGCTTGGGTAGGTGGACCAGACCAACAAGGTAGTGGAGTGTAGTCGGGTTCAGAGTAGCTGAATCTAAAACAATAACAACCTAGCGGGTGGAACCCGACTACACTGCACAACCTTGCTTCTCTTCCCTTTAGTCTGCCCTTATGATTACTGTGTATTATTTAGATTACAAAGAAAACGAAGATTATAATTTCCATATCGTTTATTTTAAACACGTCAGGCAAATGATATATATATATGTGTGTACCTTGTATATTTGCAATTATTAATACAGTAATTACAAAAAAATATAGGTTCCGCTAATTATGAAAACTTTAAAGACTGGGGGGGGGGGGAGGGGGGTAGGTGGAATATCTACCACCTACCAAAGAAGCAAAGATCCTCCTTTGTACAGGAGAGCTTCTGTCGGGGATTATAATATTGATGCTCTGAGCCGCTACAGACTTGTCAGCATAGAGAACCTTGCTATCAGGCCTAGGTGTTGCTCTAAAGAAACGTGAATATAATTATTTTATTCTTGGGTGCACAGTATATAATATTTGCCCCACCATTTGTGTAAATGATTGTATATATATGTACATGTGTATATATATATATATATATATATATATATATATATATATATATATATATATATATATATATATATATATATATATATATATATATATATATATATATATATATATATATGTTATGATCTCAGCCTGCAGGAGAAACGAGTCTCCCTCCTTGAGAGTTATTCGTCAAGCCTGACCTGATTAGAAGGTCTAGCGAATATTGAGGTGATAACGCATATGTAAAATAGTTGCTTGGATATGTGTAACAGTTTGAGATTATGGGCAATGAAGAAGAAAACAGATAAATGACTGGCTAGGAGATGTGGACATTTTGCTGGAGGCGTGAGGCTCGCTTCTGGAGGACCTTGACCTCACTTGAGTGCCAGACATCGCAGGGGGAAGCCGCGCTCCGTTGAGCTCCCGTCAGAAGGGAACCCCTAGTGATATATCTCTAAGAGAAGAGAAGTGTGCAGACGTGCCAGCTGTGGAACTGAGCTGGGAACGTTGTGGTCTCAAGTCCTGGTCGAAGAAGAGAGTATCAAGCCGGCCAGAAGCATTATTGTGGGCCGTGGGAGCGCCCTGACCAGACGCCGTCAGAGGGAAAGCGCCCTCGACCAATTAATCTGTGGTAAGCACGATATACGCCAGTTCATAGTGATCGCTTGTAGTTTGGTCGTGTGCCCAGCGACAGTAGCGATGTTTATTTATAAGTTAGACATGTTTTAATAAGGCAGAAAGCCTGAAATAAGAGAGTGGAGAGGGAGGAACACGGAGCGACGTCCGCCCCCTCTGAGCGCTGGCGGAAGACTGAGGGAGCCGGGCTCTTGACAGAGGAAGACCCTCCCAGCGAGTGAGGACCGCCGCCAGGCGAGGTGGAGTATGGACCCGCCCAAAACGGGGGAGTCCACTCTCACTGTATGTAGAGGACAGATAGAGGTTTGAGGCAAGCATATTGTGTGGTTATTTTTGTTTATGTGTTAAAGGGGAACATTTTATTGGAACGTCGATGGGTTGCAGGTTTGTCTTTGGGGAAGAAGTTGCTGAGAACTTCGAAGCCAGCAGATGATGTAGCTGATGAGACTCCAAGGTAGTGGAGCAGAGGACCTCGAGCTGTGAGGAGAAGCAGCAGTGAAGAGGAGTGTCACGTGCTTCTGTAGAGGTGGTGTAGCAGCCAAGAGAGCTGTGGAAGAACCTAACAGAAGGGTGAAGCACCGTAGTTGCACAAGGAAACTTCATGATAGCAGCCGGGAGGAGCTGCAGAGGATCCTGGTAGTGAAGCCCGGAAGAACCTAAGGATATTAGGGTTGTGAACTTCCAGAGGTGGAAGGGGAAGTTCTGGTGGATTACTTATAGGGAGTTGATAGTGTTTGGTTGTCAGTAGCGTGCAAGACGCAGTGAGAGGTGAGTGACTGTTTGCATTCTTATGTCAAGGAGTGTTTTATACTGAAGTTTAGAGTTACAGTCGTAGGCTGGATTACCTACGGATGTATGCGTTCCAGGACTGACAGTGATTGATGGATCATTGTTGTGTATCAATGAACATTTATACTGATATATGTGATTGCATTCAAATGCTGATTTTCTATATATACATTATCTTGCTGATAGTGCAACAGTGTGTAGGCTTGACCAACTTGAGGAGGTTAATAGTATCAGGTGGTGAACCAGGAGATAGGATACCACTTGATAAGCTGATAATAGAGTTCTGATGGTATTGGAGTGCAACCTGATTGTGATATTATAGAGTATAGGATTCATTATTATTATATGTGTGTATGTATCGTGTATGTGCTTTGTTCAGTAAATGTGTCACAATTTGCTGGTGTTTGCCCTTGTCCTAGTGAGGCTTCCCAGGAGGTAGTAAAGAAGGAGAGAGAGAGAGAAAGAACCATGAACCACTGCTGTGGACAGGGTAGGAGGTAATACTAGTAAGTCATAGGGGGATTGAGGAGATCATATCTCATAAGGAGAGAGTGGGGAGTCACAGCGGCTCGAGTGGGTGTGTGCACGTGACAACGAGGCTAAGTGTTGGAGCCGCATCCCCTGAACGTGTGACGTTGAGCCCCTCTCCAAGAGCCAGAAGCGCCAAGGGTGATCTCCTAGTATAAGCACTCTGCCGAGTTGTGGGTTGGGTTGTCCATAGAGAAGGATCAACGACGACAACACCAACCAACCCACAGTCTATAAAAATATATATATATATATATATATATATATATATATAACATTAATAAGTGTGTAACTAGCTTCAAAAGATTGTTACTTGCTCAGTTCCTGAACCCATTATGTTCCTCTGTAACCCTTTCCACCACCGCCCACGGGATGGGTATGGGGTGCACAATAAAGAAATTGAATTGAAATGCGTATTGAGAAGGGTCAGAGGTAGACTGTCAAAGCCAGTTTCGTGGGTCCAACCAAATCCATACTGGCTTAAAACGCTTCACACAGTTCACAAATATTCAGAAGAAGAGTAAGATGTATACGTAATTGTCTTCGTCTAAAGATGAGATCATCTCTCTCACTCTTGGAGGCTGTAGTGCCCACCACAGGGACGAGCCTCGGTTGTATTCTTCTGATCCTCGGTGAGAAATGACGTTCAACCTGTCTACTCCTGGCGTCTAGAAGTCTAGAAGAACTAGTCTAACTTCTAGACTAGAATACTAGTTTAGACGAACATGTCCTGCACGTGTCGGTGGTCACATGTACTTCCTAGATTCTCCAGCCATTTCCTTTTACTGATCTCTCGCACAATAGTTATTTTGACCCTATTCCGATGGGATCTTCTCTTCACATTCCTCAACGTCTTTAAAATTTCGCTTCATCTTTACGTTTTAACTTTAGAAGAGGAGGGGTTGGAGGGTTGATGAAGGAGGAGAGGGTAGTTGGGAGGGGTGTCGGGGGGAAGGGTCGTACCTCGAGGGTCGAGGGATGGTTATCATGACTTTCCGTGCTGTGACTTGCCTCCGCGTGCATGGCTCATCCTTATGGCTGGACTAATCGTCAAGATCGTCATTCATTGGTCTGGGAGCTTGCATCCCATTTTCTTTTTCCTCCCCCTTCTCTAAACTAAGTTGACGAAGCTCTACGGACATTAAGCACCAAGATGACCCGGATGGTACGTCGCCTCGAGTCTTGCCAAAACTAGGGGACATTTTGTTAGTGTGTGTGCGTCTTGGCGACGGATTTATGAAGGAGGAACTGCGGAGGGTCCGCTTTTGCTGCTAATATTGCTACGACAGCTGGAGCACCGTGGACCAAACTGCACGAATTCTTTTTGACCAGTGAGGAAGGAAACAAATTCATGGTTATCAGTGTCCGGAGCAGAGTAGCTGGAGGCTGACGGTGACACACTAGCCCCCCTTCCTGGAGACCTCAGCCGGTCCCTCTGTCACTCGTTATTCTACCTCGTCTACCGGAGAGCTCTGTTATGGCCGACTCTCGTAGGGTGTCTGAAGGAGTAAGAACATGTAGCTACGAGGGTGTTGATGGTACAGCTCTCTAGTCCACTGACCTGGACGGAAACTGCGCTCAAGGGGAATACTGAATTTCAAAATAATTGAGTTTTAGATCATTGTCATCACTAGGACACTTATGTGTTTGAAGCCTTGAGAATGAAGATGTGCGTGCGTGTATGTGTACAGGTGACGAGAAATCCATGACACCACTTGAAGAAAACTTTAGTCTGTAGACTGGTCGTAAGGACAATTCTTGATTGAGGCATCACAATTGGAAGTCTTCATAATGTTAACGAGCAGAGGACCGTCCAGGAGAGCGGTGTACCCGCCCCCAGACCTGCCTTTCCTACTACATGTGCTGGGCGCGGCCAGGAACCTGGTCAGTTGCTGAGAGGTGCGGCCACGCTCCCTTGGAGGTCCGGCTGGAGGCTGTGGCTCGCAAGGGTGGTAGTGAGGTCCGGTGGGAGGCTGGCACTTGTGATGGTGAGGTCCGGCTTTAGTCTGGTTGTTTGGGTGAGGTCGGCGGCGGAGGTGTCGACGTCCGGCTTGAGGTTGATACCAGCAGAGATGGCGGTAAGGTCCAGATTGAGTGTGGCTGCAGGTGTGAGGTCGGCGGCGGTGGCGAGGACCCGCTGGAGTCTGGTGCCGACGGCGATGGTGGTGGACAGGTCCTCCTCCAGGATGGGCGACTCCCTGTAGGTGCGGGTCATGTACACTGACTTCACCTCTTGGGACGACTCTGCAGGGAGTACAATAATGTGCCCGCGTCAGGGTAGTGTATTGACTAGTACTGTATTAACATTGCTGCCTCTTATTACTCTTATTGTCTCTTACTAGCTCGCCTCGAGGCGTACCTCTACACCTCCCAACAACTCACCTTCGTCATCGTCTTCGTCATGACGTTCCTGTCCCCGCAGGCAACACATCAAGGGGCTCAGATGCTTCTGAAGGATCCCCAGCATCTCCTTTCTGGGGATGAACAGAGAGATAAGACAGGAGGGAAGTGAAACATAATGAACAATTATACAAACTGTTCACTGTTCTCAGGACTGTTCGTAATTCGTGTAATTGATAAATATGCATCTACTTTTGATGGTGTTCAAAATTTATTTATTACGGTTTGAGTAAGCCACAGACGAGAACATTCCCATGTGAAGCCTGGGTTGATGATTCCATTCATTCAATCCCCCCACGCGACACAGCTGATTCACTCATACATTATTCATCTCATTATCATAGCCTCGTCCTCACTATCATGGGGGGGGGGGGCGGGTGGAGTGGATCATCAGCCCGTAGACACAAAGTTGAGTAATATCGTATACAAATGTTATATATTAATTAAACACAAACAAATATCAAGACCAACCATGCTCCAGCACTCGCTCACAGCTGCACAAGACCAACCATGCTCAAGCAGTCCTCCATATGTTACCGTTACCTGTGTGACGATTCTGAGCACTTCAGGTGCTCAGCTGCCACCAGGAACTAGGTCATGCTACACACACTACATTATTGAATACTCGGTCACTAGACCCTTAAAGCTTGCCCACATGATGCACTCGGAGCGTTGCAATTGATCTCCAGCCGTGTTCTTTGAGAATATATTTATGGCCGTTTGCAAGTGCGGGCTGACTGATTATATCTCCCCGTATGACTTTCCATCCTGACGTGAACTTCCTGTATGACTATGGGCATAATTTACATAGCTGAAAGTAGCCACATGTATGCAGATGCAGTACATTCCTTCTCCCTGGTGTCGGCTTGGGGTGTAACTACGTCACCTTGTATCACCTGCCCGACTCACCTGTACCTGGCGTTAACGAAGACGTAGATGACGGGGTTGTAGGCGCAGGAGGACTTAGCCAGCAGGACAGGCACCAGGGTGACGTAGACAGGAGCCTGGTGTCCCATCAGGCCGGTCACGACGGACACCAGGCAGTAGGGTAGCCACGCCACCAGGAACCCTGCACACACCAGCCCGGACACCTGCGCCACACGTGAGAGGGGGACAGGTGTACTGAGTGGTAGAGGAGGGGACGACGTGAAGTACAAGGCATTTGTAAAATACTTGGTGTGGCAACGTCCGTCTGCAGTACGAGGAGAGTGAAGGTGGATAGAAATAACTTAAGCTACTCTATCCCTTTGAGATGTATTTTATTGTCTCCATAAATGCATTTGAACTTGTGACGAAGATATATTAAACATTCTCCTCTCTCTCTCTCTCTCTCTTTTTATGAATCTGAGAAAATAGTCAAAATCGCCGGGAAAAGAAATATAGCAACAACAAAGAAAATTGTCATGCAGAAACTTGAGGAAAAATTAAAGATAAGAACTTCCCCGTAACAGTCTGGCTGTGTGAAGAGTTTCCTTAAAACTTGCCTTAACAAAAAACCTGAACTCTTCTTTTATTATTACACAACTGATCCTGTACCTTCCTTAGTATTGATAAGCAGTCAACACTCCCCGGGGTTGACGTGGGGGCGAGTGTGTGTGTGTGTGTGTGTGTGTGTGTGTGTGTGTGTGTGTGTGTGTGTGTGTGTGTGTGTGTGTGTGTGTGTGTGTGTGTGTGTGTGTGTGTGTAACTACTAGGCCTACTACTAAGCCTACTACTGACCATCCTCAGGATGCAGGCCATAATTGTCTAACTTCCTAATTATCTATTTGCTGCTGTGTAAACAGAGGCATCAGGTGAAAGGAAACTTTGAACAAATGCTTCCATCCTGCCATTGCGCTCCACGGGACTTAGGCGCTCTCTCTGTCTCTCTCTCTCTCTCTGTCTCTCTCTCTCTCTGTCTCTCTCTCTCTCTCTCTGTCTCTCTCTCTCTCTCTCTCTCTCTCTCTCTCTCTCTCTCTCTCTCTCTCTCTCTCTCAAGGAATTTGGAAAAACCCTTTCTCAAGATCACTAATCTTAATCAAAACTAATAGAAGCCATAAAAATTAAGTCTTACTTCAATTTGAGTAATGAGGTGATTAATGAGAGTTCTCCATGCTGAGCCCTGAGCTTGGTGTGTGTGAGAGAGAGACCAGACACACTGATGCTCTCATCAGTGTGTCTCTCTCATCATCTCATCGCATCATCACACTGATGATGCTCAGACAATATCGAGGCGAAACGACAGTTAATTACCCAGACTTTTCCCTAATATACTTTTCCCCCAGGTGACGTCTCTGATACTGTCGTCAGCCGGGGGTGACGTCTCTGATACTGTCGTCAGCCGGGGGTGACGTCTCTGATACTGTCGTCAGCCGGGGGTGACGTCTCTGATACTGTCGTCAGCCGGGGGTGACGTCTCTGATACTGTCGTCAGCCGGGGGTGACGTCTCTGATACTGTCTTCAGCCGGGGGTGACGTCTCTGATACTGTCGTCAGCCGGGGGTGACGTCTCTGATACTGTCGTCAGCCGGGGGTGACGTCTCTGATACTGTCGTCAGCCGGGGGTGACGTCTCTGATACTGTCGTCAGCCGGGGGTGACGTCTCTGATACTGTCGTCAGCCGGGGGTGACGTCCCTGACACTGTCGTCAGCCGGGGGTGACGTCTCTGATACTGTCGTCAGCCGGGGGTGACGTCCCTGACACTGTCGTCAGCCGGGGGTGACGTCCCTGACACTGTCGTCAGCCGGGGGTGACGTCCCTGACACTGTCGTCAGCCGGGGGTGACGTCTCTGATACTGTCGTCAGCCGGGGGTGACGTCCCTGGCACTGTCGTCAGCCGGGGGTGACGTCCCTGACACTGTCGTCAGCCGGGGGTGACGTCCCTGAGACTGTCGTCAGCCGGGGGTGACGTCCCTGACACTGTCGTCAGCCGGGGGTGACGTCCCTGACACTGTCGTCAGCTGGGGGTGACGTCCCCGACACTGTCGTCAGCCGAGGGTGACGTCCCTGACACTGTCGTCAGCCGGGGGTGACGTCCCCGACACTGTCGTCAGCCAGGGGTGACGTCGCTGACACCTGTGCCACAGGAGGGACACCATAAGGTCGGCCAATATTTGCCACCACAAGAGCGCCTCCTGCGACCTTCTCGACCACCTATATAAAATCCAACACTCTAATTTGACTTTTATAATAACTTCTGAGATTGCCTCGGTAAAATTCATGGGGTAAAAGACTATCTGGAAAGGAACTTTAGATTAAATTATGGCCATCAAATTACTCCTTTCGTCGTGGGTTGTAAAATTGTCTTGGGGCGAGTTCTCAGGGAATTTGCCTGTTAATGTTGTGGCCAGTTCTGAGAAACGTGGGTCGACGTTTCTGTCTAGCGTCTAGCACTCTGTGGGGGTGGTGTGGGGGGGGGGCCGGGATACTGACCCCCACTAATTCTCCCAAGTATCCCCGAGATACTTGGTGGGGGGGAGGGGGGGAATTAGAAGAGGGGGGCCATCCAAGACGGTCCACAGAGGCCCAATACCAGCAGGTCCAGGCCACCAGGACCTCGCGAGGGAGGGAGGGAGGGTGCGGAGTAGTATCCCGTACACTCACCAGTGTGATCTGGAGCTCGGAGCGCCGTTGGGACGTGAAAGGGTTGCGGAGGGTGGTGAGTTTGTTGCGGTAGTTCCGGCGCACCAGGAGCAGGATCCTGGCGTAGCACCACACCATCACCGCCGCCGGCAGCGTCACCACCAGCGTCACCACCAGCACGATGTACACCTGGGCACCTGGGGGGAACCACGAAGTTGTGTGGGCCTTAGGTCAGACGGGCTTGTGTGTGTGGAGTTCTTAAACACAGGATTAACAGATTACTGCGTATTGTTCCTGTCAGGGGTTCGACCGTCTGTGTACATCATGACCAAACTACACTTCACAAAATGAAGAAACGACGACGTTTCGACCAGTCTTGGAGCATTATCAAGTGGTTTGGTCATCATACCTTCAGCCACGTTATTGTGACTCGTCGTCTGCAGTATGTATAAGTCTTCAGACCTCGTAGTAACCTTAATGTTGTAGTGAATATAACAGAGACATAGAATGGTATAGAAGATGAGTCACAATAACGGGGCTGAGGATATGATGACCAAACCACACATCAGAAAATGAGACAAAAAAGACATTTCTGGACTATTATCAAGCCACGTGAAAGAAAATGGGCGTTGAGAACTTACTGTTGGCAGGATTGGCCCAGTTGAGGGTGCAGGAGGTGCCGAAGGGTTCCACCTCGAAGTCGCTGACGAAGGAGAAGAGTGGGAGTACCGCCCAGAACACTGAGTACATGTACACCCCCACCAGCACCACCTTCATGTGCTCGGACGTCAGTCGCCTGCCTGAGGGAGAGAGAAGGCAGAGGGAGTGGATTAGAGCGTGGACGAGAGGGAGGAGAGGGGGGGGGTTTCATGTGTGAAACTGAGTGTAATAGAAGTAGATAATGACTATATCACAGCACCAAAACGTATTGGCATCCCACCACAGGTCCAGACTGTGTGGTATTGGTAACCGGACCTCAGTACCTGGGCCTCTCGGTCTTTTATTCATCAACAAACTCAATATATCTTGTTGCTTCTTTTCCCGAATCCCAGCCGCCTTGCCGCTACCATGCCGGGAATATGCATGTGCAACTGATGATGTGTGGGGTCTACACACACACACACACACACACACACACACACACACACACACACACACACACACACACACACACACACACACACACACACACACAGGAAGCATCCCGTAGCAACTGTCTAACTCCCAGGTACCTATTTACTGCTAGGTGAACAGGAACATCAGGGTGAAAGAAACTGTCTATTTGTTTCCGCCATCGCCGGGAATCTATCCCCGGACCCTCCCTAGGACTACGAATGCCAAGCGCTGTCCACCCAGCCGTCAAGCCCCCACGGGTGTGTGTGTGTGTGTGTGTGTGTGTGTGTGTGTGTGTGTGTGTGTGTGTGTGTGTGTGTGTGTGTGTGTGTGTGTGTGTACTCACCTAGTTGTGTTTGCGGGGGTTGAGCTCTGGCTCTTTGGTCCCGCCTCTCAACATTGTATGTGTGTGTGTGTGTGTGTGTGTGTGTGTGTGTGTGTGTGTGTGTGTGTGTGTGTGTGTGTGTGTGTGTTTATGTGTGCGTGTGTGTGTGTGTGTGTGTGTGAGGAAGGGGGGGCTAGTGAATATATCTCTCTTTACTTCACTATTCCTGTCCTCGTACTGTTATCTGTTACTCCGTCTGTACCTTATTGTCGCTTCATGTTTTGTATTCCTCCTCTCTCCACCACATATCTCCATTCTCCCATTCCGTTAGTTCAGTTTGTCTTCCAGTTCTGCTTCTCTTAACTCCCCATATCCCTTCTTTCGCTCCGTCCTTTCCTACCTCTCGTCTCCTTTCCCTCCCTCTACGTGTCGGCCTCAGCGCGGTCCTCAGCTTACCGTAGGCGAGGGAGCAGGTCTTCAGGTACCTGACGACGGCCAGGGCGGCCATGGAGGTGATGGTGGCGATCCCCAGCAGGTAGCACACGAAGCCGTACACCTCGCACCCTGCCGGAGGGAAGGTGTTAACACGTCAGCTTTCCCGCTCTTAGGGAGAGGGGAAGAGAGAGGGAGAGGGAGAGAGAGAGAGAGGGGGGGGGAAGCAAAAGGGAGAAAGAGAAAGGGGAGAGAGGGAGAAAAAAAAATAGTGCCATATATCATTTCATTACTCTTACCTCATCATATATGCCATCTACTCCAGAATGATAATGACGCCTTATTACATATGTATTTCATCTCTACACAATACCGGCAGACCCCCCCCCCCCCACGCGGACTTAGCGCTTAGATTAATTAAATCATTTCGTTTGGCAAAATTCCATCAACACTTTCCAAATGCACACATAACAAAAGTCAACGACTTTAGTACTTATTATATTATTAATGATAATAATTATAATAAAAACATAAATCTCTCTCCCCCCCTTCCCCCTCTCCCCCCTCCCTTCCCCCTCTCCCCCCCCTTCCCCCCCTCCCAGGGACTCCCATGTACCCAGGGGAAGAGCTCACCGATGTCCCCAAAGAGCCACCTGTGGGCGAAGCTGGAGACCATAGGTGCCGGGTAGCTGCAGAGGGCCAGGAAGAGGTGCATGAGTGCCAGGTTGAGCAGGAGCACCTCGGCCGGGGTCAGCTGACGGAGGCGCTGCCGGAACATCAGTACCGTCGACACGTTGCCCAGCACGGAGAGAACCCCTGTAAGGGTGGAGGAGAACACCCGAAGGAGCAGAGAATACCTTCATGTGCGTAAGACATTTTCAGATGTGTGGGAAATGACCCCTCTGAGGGGTCAGAGTTGGTGGGGGGGGGGGGAAATGACAGGAATATCATCAGTGAGTCACAATGCTGACCACCACTTGTGTGGGAAAATAAACACTCATACAGCAAGAGGATCAAAACCACCAACACTGGCAGCGTCAGCACTGGCAACACCAACACTGGCCACACCAACACTGGCAACATCAACTAAACATCCGCTAACACAGGCGACAGACAAATCGAGACATTTGCCAAATTTCACGGCTACCATATCTATCTTGGAGGAGGTGTTCAGTGTTCTTGACGGAGGCGTGCCTGACACACTCAGAGGCTGAGGTGGACTATCCATCGCCGTGGGGCTTAACGCGGCGTTTCTAGGATCAGACGTCGTCATAATCCGACACGTCCAACCAAGACTCTTTCCACCTCTATGAATTTGAATGAACGAGTTTTGAGCATTATATATATTTTTTCCGACATTGCTTTCATGCCTGGTGAAGATGAACGTGACTGGCCGGGGTGTTCAGGTCTTCTTGGCGCGAGCTGAACCCCACAAGGCCACGACGGACGCCCCAGAGAAGAGCTGAGGTTGTAGGTGGTGTAAGAGAGGGCGTCCCTGTGATGCTAGGCTGTGGAGGGTGCCCTAGGTTATTGACTTGGCGCACCTTCCTCACTCGCGCCTAGTGATCGCCCACGCAATCATTACCTTGCCCTAATCAACCGTAATTACCTATATTAACCTTACATGCCCTCAGCCCTTGCTTGCCTATATGAAAGGTAGAAATGTTAGACATTTTCAATACTGTGTTTACCCTTAGTATTTGTGTTAGTCTCCTAGAGCCGGGCACTCCCCTCCTGATGCTTATCTCTCTCTCTCTCTCTCTCTCTCTCTCTCTCTCTCTCTCTCTCTCTCTCTCTCTCTCTCTCTCTCTCTCTCTCTCTCTCTCTCTCTCTCTCTCTCTCTCTCTCAGCTGGGTGCAGCCAGGCCACAGGGCAGGAAACGGTAGCAGATCAATGCTGTTTTATGCTATTTATGCTACTTTTCGAATTGTTTGAATATTTTTCTTTTAACTTTACCCTTCTCGTTATGTTGCTCATCAGTCTCGCAAACTGTCTACACTCCACATGTGCAAATCGATTACAGTCTCGAATTGCTTCTTTTAATAGAGTTTTGTAAGCCAGGGAGTGAGTGAGGTTAGCGGGCGGTTAGCTGAGGCCAGCATCTCTCTGTGTGTTGATAGTAGTACTGCTGTACGCTACACTTGCGTGACGCGAACCTTGCGCTGTGTCACTTTGTTGCTGCATATTGCTTTTATCAGTCACTCCAAGGTTAGGGGGTTCTTGTTTGTAATAAACAAATTCTTATTTTATGGCTACACATCTATTCAGTCCAGCGGGAACGGCGACAATTTGTATAACGTTTTTGCAAATGAAGATTCTGAATCTGAATGAAAAAAAAACACTCTTTGAAGTCCTGTTACCCATTAGTACCCACCTACCTACCCTTGCCAACCAGTGCATAGAAAACGAGGATGTTGTTTGAGAGTCGCTGCCTTTCATGGAACCGCAAAGTTTTGCGTGATAAGTGGACACCTGTGGAGGCTTCACGCGCACAAAGCCCTGTGAAGCCCGTAGCCAGCAAGGCTTACAGAGTGGTGGGTCTCGTCATTGACCCACCCCATTATGCTGTATTATAATGTGTTAGAGCTCACCTGCATTATGCTATAAAAGGGAGGTCTTTACCAAAATATGAAAGCGAGTTGCATAACGTATAGAGTCGAGCGACAAAATTAATGCCATCACCGAGATATATATATATATAATATATATCATAGTCTTTGTAGGACTTTAAAGAGCCTAGGTGGTTTACATTGTAGAAACGTAGACTCAAACGACTATATCAGAGTCAATAAGATACTGAAGAAGTTCAGCCTCCAACAACAAATGCAATGAGATTCGACACAGATTCGTTTATATCCAGCCTCCGAGAGCATTGGAATACCTTGCCCTCTAAAGTCTCGGGAGCAGACTCAACACGGTCTCGGAAGGCATTTTGAAATTGTTAACATGAATTCATCTTATATTTTGAATACTAAGAGTGCGTAAGAGGTGACTAGAGCAGCGTTGGCTGACGAGTCAGGAGTGGTGGAGGAGGTCGTGGTATACTGGCCGGGCAGCAGCAGCGAAGATGACGGTCGTTGTGAAGGTGAGCCAGGCTCATTATCCCTCATCTTCTCTAGTGCCACCACGCCGTCGTTCTCCTCAGCACGGTGCTGCTCGTTCACTCCGTCTTCCAACGGTTTCCCAACGTCAAGGAACGGTTGTATTAAAGTGGCCTTATCCTAACCTACCAGAGGATTTGGAGAGAAGGGGAGAGCCTCCCGCTTTACTATCCTAATCTCCTCTTCCTGGAACTAATTACAATTAGGTAGGTTGTTTTCCTCCTGGTTTTTAGAGATAAAGAGACCAATTAGTCCAAGGCTTAAGTCTTTCCCAAGCACTCACTTATTCTTGTGCCCTTTCTTATCCCTTGCTTAATGATCCATCTCTTTCTCTTTCATCACCGCCCCTCTCTGCTTCTACATTATCATCTTTTACATCTTTTTATCGCTCAAATCTCTCTCATTTTCATCCGTGCATCTCCCTTTCACTTTCAGGGTTCCCTCAATTTTATCTCTTGGCATTGAGCGCCCCTCACCATTCCCCAGACTTGCTTCATTCAGAAGGGAGCCTCAAAGGCTTCTCCGCCTCACAGATGAATTCCTTGGGGCTGTTTGCTCCCCTGCCTCTTTATGGGGGTTCTTCAGAGACTCGGCCCACCACGACGGGACGGATATTAGATCAAATCCCTATACCACAATCGTGCCATTTGTGGCTATGGAGAAAGTCAAATTTCCCTCAATATCGTTCGTTCTGAAAGTAGATCCTCACTAGTGGCTTCAGGGGACTCACCCTCACTAGGACTTCAGGGGACTCTCCCCTCACTAAGGCTTCAGGGGAGGACTCATCTTCACATTGTGGATTCCCGTTCATGTAGGTCTATCATGTACGCATTAGGTGCCCCTGCCAAGGACTCGTGGAAACTCCTGTAAACGGCAGACTCCTGCACTTACCGACAAAGACGAGGAAGGACCCAACGATGAAGTCTTCGTACCACATCAAGCGGGAGGCGAACTTGTCCAGGTCAACGCCGGGGGCGCCGCCACAGCAGGCAGCGGAGATGTTGGTGCTGTTGGCGGACAGGGCCGCCTCCAGTCCTGGGGCGTCGCTCACGGCCTCCCGGCTGGCGTAGACTGATGTGGCCACGTCAACAGCTCCTCCCATCTCCTTCCCGCCACCGACCACCATCGCGCCCTCTCTTGATAGGAGAGAGGCCATTTCAATATAATTTAGTGAAGGAAGAAAATACTCCACTAATGTCACATATTTACACAACACACTCCTTTGGTCGAAAATTATCACGTGAACGTTCTCTAATATCTAAATTATCACGTGAACGTTCTCTAATATCTAAATTATCACGTGAACGTTCTCTAATATCTAAATTATCACGTGAACGTTCTCTAATATCTAAATTATCACGTGAACGTTCTCTAATATCTAAATTATCACGTGAACGTTCTCTAATATCTAAATTATCACATGAACGTTCTCTAATATCTAAATTATCACATGAACGTTCTCTAATATCTAAATTATCACGTGAACGTTCTCTAATATCTAAATTATCACATGAACGTTCTCTAATATCTAAATTATCACGTGAACGTTCTCTAATATCTAAATTATCACGTGAACGTTCTCTAATATCTAAATTATCACGTGAACGTTCTCTAATATCTAAATTATCACGTGAACGTTCTCTAATATCTAAATTATCACGTGAACGTTCTCTAATATCTAAATTATCACGTGAACGTTCTCTAATATCTAAATTATCACGTGAACGTTCTCTAATATCTAAATTATCATGTGAACGTTCTCTAATATCGACGGTCCAGAGGGTTATTAAGACCGCCGCAACAGCTTATTGTCCAACCAGCAAGTATACTCGTCCTGAACATTGTCCAGAAGCACAATACACTGTGTATGCACACACACAAGCTGGCCTCCAGCACTCCGTGTATATCCAGTGAAATCAATTATTAAACTGAGAATTTAAAAAATGACATCGTGGAAGAGAATAGTTGTTAAATAAAAAAATATACAGATTACTTTCAATAATAATTGATAATTAACATAAATAATCTATAATCTTCGTATACATGATTAGCCCCAATATGGAAATAAAATAACCCCAATATGGGACAAATTAGTCTTACTATTGAACAAATTAACCCCAATATGGAACACATTAGCCCCAATATGGGACAAATTAACCCCAATATGGGACAAACTAGCACCATTATGGGGACAAATTAACATTATTATGGGACAAATTAGCAGGTGGCCTCACCTAAGTTATCTCCGGACGGGGCGCTGAGGGCAGGACACAGACCTGCTGCAGGGATCAGGTGTGCAGCTACACACCTGGCTGGTGTAGCCTGGCTAGCCCATGGCTCTCACCCTTGACTAGCCTGCACACACCTGGCCAGGGATGAGTACCGCCTGTGATGCCGTATGTGTGTATGTGTGTGTGGGAGGGGGGGGGATAGTGTGTATGTAAGTGTGTGTATTTATGTGTGTTTAACTACCGTATAATGGACGTTAGTTATGTATGTATATGAAAGAACTTGTGCCTGGTATATGTGTGTGTGTGTGTGCGTCGGTTACTGCCGTCTGTTTGTGATATGTATGTGTGTGTGTGGGGGGGGGGGTTATGTATATGTATGTATGGGTATGTATGTCTCTGAATATTAGGGTCTTTTCAGTGCTTGTCTGTCACCTAAATAAAGTTCGATGAAGTATAATAGCAGGTACCTGCTTCAGTACCGCTCATGTGAGTGCTTCATTACCGCTCGAGGTAGTGCCTCAGTATTGTTCGAAGTTGTGTCTCAGAACTGCTCGAAGCTGTGCCTCAGAACTGCTTGAAGTTATGCCTCAGTATTGCTCGAAGCAGTGCCTCAGAACTGCTTGAAGTTATACCTCAGTATTGCTCGAAGCAGTGCCTCAGAACTGCTTGAAGTTGTGCCTCAGTATTGCTCGAAGCAGTGCCTCAGAACTGCTTGAAGTTATGCCTCAGTATTGTCGAAGCAGTGCCTCAGAACTGCTTGAAGTTATGCCTCAGTATTGTCGAAGCAGTGCCTCAGAACTGCTTGAAGTTATGCCTCAGAACTGCTTGAAGTTTTGCCTCAATACTACTCGAAGTTATGCCTCAGTATTGTCGAAGCAGTGCCTCAGAACTGCTTGAAGTTTTGCCTCAATACTGCTCGAAGTTATGCCTCAGTATTGTCGAAGCAGTGCCTCAGAACTGCTTGAAGTTATGCCTCAGTATTGTTGAAGCAGTGCCTCAGAACTGCTTGAAGTTGTGCCTCAGAACTGCTTGAAGTTGTGCCTCAGAACTGCTTGAAGTTGTGCCTCAGAACTGCTCGAAGCTGTGCCTCGGAACTGCTTGAAGTTTTGCCTCAGTATTGCTCAAAGTTGTGCCTCAGAACTGCTTGAAGTTGTGCCTTAGAACTGCTCGAAGTTGTGCCTCAGAACTGCTTGAAATTTTGCCTCAGTACTGCTCGAAGTAGAGCCTCTGTACAGCTCGAAGTAGTGCCTCTGTACAGGTCGAAGTAATACCTTAGTACAGGTCGAAGTAATGCCTCAGTACAGGTCGAGGTAATGCCTCAGTACAGGTCGAAGTAATGCCTCAGTACAGGTCGAAGTAATGCCTTAGTACAGGTCGAAGTAATGCCTCAGTACAGGTCGAAGTAATGCCTCAGTACAGGTCGAAGTAATGCCTCAGTACAGGTCGAAGTAGTGCCTCAGTACAGGTCGAAGTAATGCCTCAGTACAGGTCGAAGTAATGCCTCAGTACAGGTCGAAGTAATGCCTTAGTACAGGTCGAAGTAATGCCTCAGTACAGGTCGAGGTAATGCCTCAGTACAGGTCGAAGTAATGCCTCAGTACAGGTCGAAGTAATGCCTTAGTACAGGTCGAAGTAATGCCTCAGTACAGGTCGAAGTAATGCCTCAGTACAGGTCGAAGTAGTGCCTCAGTACAGGTCGAAGTAATGCCTCAGTACAGGTCGAAGTAATGCCTCTGTACAGCTCGAAGTAATGCCTCAGTACAGGTCGAAGTAATGCCTCAGTACAGGCAGAAGTAATGCCTCAGTACAGGTCGAAGTAATGCCTCAGTACAGGTCGAGGTAATGCCTCAGTACAGGTCGAGGTAATGCCTCAGTACAGGTCGAAGTAATGCCTCAGTACAGGTCGAGGTAATGCCTCAGTACAGGTCGAAGTAATGCCTCAGTACAGGTCGAAGTAGAGCCTCTGTACAGGTCGAAGTAGTGCCTCTGTACAGGTCGAAGTAGAGCCTCTGTACAGGTCGAGGTAGTGCCGCTGTACAGGTCGAAGTAATGTCTCTGTGCAGGTCGAGGTAATGCCTCTGTACAGGTCGAAGTAGAGCCTCAGTACAGGTCGAGGTAGTGCCGCTGTACATGTCGAAGTAATGTCTCTGTACAGGTCGAAGTAATGTCTCTGTACAGGTCGACGTAGTGCCTCTGTACAGGTCGAAGTAATGCCTCAGTACAGGTCGAAGTAGTGCCTCTGTACAGGTCGAAGTAGTGCCTCAGTACAGGTCGAAGTAGTGCCTCACTACAGGCAGAAGTAGTGCCTCAGTACAGGCAGAAGTAGTGCCTCAGTACAGGCAGAAGTAGTGCCTCAGTACAGGCAGAAGTAGTGCCTCAGTACAGGCAGAAGTAGTGCCTCAGTACAGGCAGAAGTAGTGCCTCTGTACTGCTCGAAGAATTGCTTCATTCCGACTCGAAGTAGCTAGTAATCCCTCCTTCTATAACACATAATTCACCAATCTGTCGTGAAACTGCGGCGAACACACACACACACACCATATATACTGCCTTCCTCTCTGTTGAGATATGTAGCACTAGAGTGATGCTGCCTCAAGGCTCCTCCTGGAAGTGATAGTAAGAGTTTGAGGGGACTACGTCCATCCGTCGGCCGGGACGCGAGAGGGCTGGCTCTCTGGGTCCCACTCGTGGCACCTGGTTCCGCTAGGACGGACGGTCACTGACTGACTCTCAAGCTGCCTACATCCTCATGCCTTCGTCTGGCTCTCCTCCCCCACTGCTCTCTCTCTCTCTCTCTCTCTCTCTCTCTCTCTCTCTCTCTCTCTCTCTCTCTCTCTCTCTCTCTCTCTCTCTCTCTCTCTCTCTCTCTCTCTCTCTCTCTCTCTCTCTCTCTCTCTCTCTCTCTCTCTCTCTCTCTCTCTCTTAAATGGGAGGGAGCGCCAGTGGAAGGGAGTACCAGTGGGGGCAAGTGGGAGGGAGTGCCAGTGGGATCAAGTGGAACGAACTGAAATCAGAAAGAGTTGAAGTGAACTTCATAAACAATTTTCAAGACCAGATTCAATATGAGCGATTACGAGCGAAAGGCGTGTTTGTGTTCCAGACGACTTGAACGGTGGGAAAGGCGGGTCGAGGAGCTGAATCTTTACCATCATGCACAGTTAGATTAACACAGGAATTACGAACCCTTCAACATGAGCACAATCCCAATATCTGGTTATAGACCGTTACCATGGCAACATCTCAGCTCCCGCTTTACTGCAATTTTCTGTTCCACTTGCTAAGGTATCCGAGAGATTGTCTCCAGTGGGGGGTAGTTAAAGTGGGTTGCTAGTGTTCTTATTTCGTCTGGTACTCTCGTCCACCGCTCGATTACTGGGCAGAAGTAGTGGCTGTTCGAATGTTGAAGAAGAAGAGAAGGGTGAGTGGAACGTCTGGAGACAAGAGAAGACTCCTGGTGATTTTCTCCTCAGTTAAATGTTAAGTTACTTCCCTCCAAGACATTAAGGAGTAATTATCAAAGTGCAGAATTAAGAAAGGATGAGAGAATTATTGAAATGTTAGTAAACAGTGAGGGGTTCCCTATACTCCATCTCCTGTACCTGTGTAATTGTTGGAACAAGATGCATTTAACTGATGCTCGTATAAAGTGCCACATCAACTATGGCAATTATCTCCACCCCAGCAGTGAACTGGCATCCTTTGTCGCCGGTGAAAGTAATTATCGAAAGTAATTAGTTTCCAAAAGGACGTAGGTGGTGGCAGCTGACATTAATGTCGTAAAGGAGAGTACATTCATATTAAGTAAATTGAAACATAATATGAATGGTGGCAGTGGTGGGATTTGAAACTTTTGTTATAAGGGGCATTAGACCATTCTGAAGGGTGGGTCTGGGGCACATTCAGGATGCTACACCACATTGAAGGGTGGGTCTGGGGCCACTTGTGGGGTATTAGACCATGCTGAAGGATAGGTCGAGGGCTCGTATTGGGTATTAAACCATGCGGAAGGGTGGAGTCTGAGGCCCCATGTGGGGAATCAGAGCATTCTGAAGAGAGTGGGGGGGGGGGGCTATGTGGGGTACTAGACCACAATGAAGAGGGGGTCTGGGGGCACGTGGGTTATTAGACTATAATAATGTTGATATATGGAACACTTTTAATTATAGAAGGGGGGTCTCGTGGGGCCCCCATGTTGAAGGAGTGTGTGTGATAGCTGGGCCGAGTGCTGCGTGTAAGAAGTCGCGGATTGGTTTCCTTCACAAAGTCGTGGCGGAAGATGAGGCGTGTTTTAATACAGACTGCAGGAGAAATGAGGACGTTTTCATTTCGGTTCTCTTTGTTTTTCTGATTTGAAATGAACAGGTGGACTTTCTGTTTATGTTAAGACTCATTTTTTCGCATATATTTGTGCTTGACTCCAACTCTGGCGTTGTTTGGGGCCCTTGTTTCTTGGCTCCCAGAAAATATTATTTGGTAAATGAACATAAATTTGACTGAGAACGTTTATGAAAAGTATTAAATACTTGGATATGAAGAAACATATTAATTGGTTGGAAGACCAATATTATGGACGTGGAAAGGGATGTGGGCTTGAGAAGTGACGTCACCGTCCCAAGGGAAGGGAAGGGAAAGCAAATATCAGGAGAAAGCGCCAAGGCATTGCGACTATATAGCACTTTGAAGGGATCAGGATTAAGATTAGGGATGGGACGGAGGGAGGTAGGAATGGTGCCCAACGACTTGCACAGTCGGGAATTGAACGCCGACCTGCATGAAGCGAGACCATCGCTCTACCGTCCAGCCCAAGTGGTTGGACGCCATCCCCCCAAGACGAGACGTCACCCCTCCTGTTCCTATGTCTACCAAGTTTATAAAAGCTTACTGAAATCCAGTTACATCAACAAGTTTATATAGCCAAGACACCGGCGGCGGCATCAAACCAGATCAAAATGCGTTCTAAGCCAGACTGAAAATAGCTAACGGACAAAATAACTTTTCCAGCATGGAACACGGACTCAAATTCAGTTCATAACAGCATATAAGTAACTATCAAAGAATATGTCCAATACAACACACACGAAATAAAACAAAACAAAAAAAGATGAACCAATTTTCTATGAGTCCCTGGTCACCCCCTTGTGAAGCCTCTTGTGATGCCCCTGGTGAAGCCCCTGGTGAAGCCCCTGGTGAAGCCCCTGGTGGAGCCCCTGATGAAGCCCCTGGACTACTAGAAACCCGAAGCACGTGAAGTATGATGGACTACGAGAGCCGGTTGTAGGGGTAAATCTCAAGCTTGAACTTGACGCACAGTTCTTATGAGATTATAAAGTGGAGCTGCCTCGTATGGGGCCAATAGGTCTTCTACAGTTACCTTCATTTCTTATGTTCTTATGGTGGGCCTTCTTTAGCAGGTGGCGTGCTTGCTGGTGTCCACTTTGAGCGTGTTCAGGTGTGTCCTGAGTACGACATGTGTGTTTCTGGTGTGTCCTGAGTATGACAGGTGTGTGTTCAGGTGTGTCTTGAGTATGACAGGGAGGGCGAGATCGATGAGTCTAGCACGAGTCTGCTCTGTACTGTGTACCTTTCACTCGAGAAAGGAGTTTGAAAATTAACTCTCCAAAGTTCATTTTAGTTTTATTATAGTTTGATGCTAAGAGATGCATGTTGTTGGCCCTGTCAACACTCTCAGAGGCAGAGTAGCAGTGATTACAGTATGGCTGAAGCAACAGAATACATAACAGTGAAGTGTAGAATACGACAGTAGGCACCCCCCCCTCCCCCCCCTCCCCCCCCCCCCCCCCCCCCCCTCCCCCCTGCAGCATGTCAATCTCCGATGTTTTAATTTTGGGTGTTCCGTCTTGGTCCCGAGGATGGCAGTGTAACTCGGTCCTGCCCTGTCTCAAGCCCAAATACTTGAGCTGGACGGTAGAGCAACGGTCTCGCTTCATGCAGGTCGGCGTTCAGTCCCCGACCGTCCAAGTGGTTGGGCACCATTCCTCCCCCCCACCCCCTTCCCCTCGTCCCATCCCAAATCTTTATGCTGATCCCTTCCAAGTCGTAATGTAATTCTGTAAGTCGTAAAATATATATAGTCTTAATGGCTTGGTGCTTCCTACCCCTGATAGTTCCCTTCTACCTGTCTTACGAGGGTTGAGTGGGTTTGTTTGAGGTGCAGAGCCTCGCCGATGTCCCAATCTTCTATTGTCGTTGTATTTGTCGATTATGTTAGTGTAAGGACACGCCCAGCAAACACACAGCGAAACTACGACGTTGATACAACGTTCGAACAAGTTTTAACACCTCCTAACAAGTAATAACAACCAATATAGCGAGTTGTAACAACGTTCTAATACGTCATAAACACGTTAAGCCAAGATGTAACAACTTTATTACAAGTTGTAACAAGCGGAAAATAGGAACAGTTTGTGTTTCCAGGGACCGCCACACTGCTCACGAAGAACTCTCCAGACACCGAACAAAACGCCTTGCGAAAGACAAGTGACGTCTATGCTCCCCCCCCCCCCACGCCCACCTGGGCGCCGTCAGCCCCAGCGACCGCACTACAATGGCAAGACAACACCATCTCCTTCAGGGCGCTTGACAAAAGCACACACAGCAAGGGCCCCGTCGAGGACGGTACGGTTCGCACACAGTCACCACCAAGAGATGTCTTGACACACGACACAAGTGCTGGAAGCTGTGCAAGTACTCTTGACACACGACACAAGTGCTGGAAGCTGTGCAAGTACTCTTGACACACGACACAAGTGCTGGAAGCTGTGCAAGTACTCTTGACACACGACACAAGTGCTGGAAGCTGTGCAAGTACTCTTGACACACGACACAAGTGCTGGAAGCTGTGCAAGTACTCTTGACACACGACACAAGTGCTGGAAGCTGTGCAAGTACTCTTGACACACGACACAAGTGCTGGAAGCTGTGCAAGTACTCTTGACACACGACACAAGTGCTGGAAGCTGTGCAAGTACTCTTGACACACGACACAAGTGCTGGAAGCTGTGCAAGTACTCTTGACACACGACACAAGTGCTGGAAGCTGTGCAAGTACTCTTGACACACGACACAAGTGCTGGAAGCTGTGCAAGTACTCTTGACACACGACACAAGTGCTGGAAGCTGTGCAAGTACTCTTGACACACGACACAAGTGCTGGAAGCTGTGCAAGTACTCTTGACACACGACACAAGTGCTGGAAGCTGTGCAAGTACTCTTGACACACGACACAAGTGCTGGAAGCTGTGCAAGTACTCTTGACACACGACACAAGTGCTGGAAGCTGTGCAAGTACTCTTGACACACGACACAAGTGCTGGAAGCTGTGCAAGTACTCTTGACACACGACACAAGTGCTGGAAGCTGTGCAAGTACTCTTGACACACGACACAAGTGCTGGAAGCTGTGCAAGTACTCTTGACACACGACACAAGTGCTGGAAGCTGTGCAAGTACTCTTGACACACGACACAAGTGCTGGAAGCTGTGCAAGTACTCTTGACACACGACACAAGTGCTGGAAGCTGTGCAAGTACTCTTGACACACGACACAAGTGCTGGAAGCTGTGCAAGTACTCTTGACACACGACACAAGTGCTGGAAGCTGTGCAAGTACTCTTGACACACGACACAAGTGCTGGAAGCTGTGCAAGTACTCTTGACACACGACACAAGTGCTGGAAGCT